AAGGAGTTCGCAACATATCGACCCTTTGGTGAGTTAGGTTCTTAATGTTTAATTTTATATAGCCCCCCCCCCATCTCCTGCCAGTGAAGTGATCCAATTCATTACTTAATCGTAATGTTCAATCAGACGAACATCACTCCTCGGCGTGTTGCAGGATAAATAAATAACGTAATAAAAAAGCTACCATCATAAAACAGGTAACTGCGATATTTTTTTTTCTCTCTAGTTTGCTTAATAGGAATTCCAATCATTGAAATTCAACTCTGGTTTCCGGTCAGGGCGGTTTCCGGATTCCAGCTGGAATCTTTTCCAGCTGTACTGGTCCATCTCTCTGCCTAGGGGCAGAGAGGATCCCCAGACGAGGTTATGTCGAAGCGCAGAGTCTCGTCTCGGGAAAAAGAGCTACCCGACCCCGTTTTATACGGGAAACTTTTTGGCCGAACTTACGGGCTCGTATTACCCCACATTAAACTTGGCCTTGTGCCACATCTTACCTCGTGGGGAAGATGGTAAATATTCCAATCATTGAAATCCTTGGAGAGCAACTTATCAATCTTTTTCGTTTCTTTTTGCTTTTTTTAATCTAAAGCGCGTTTCTTGACAAAAACTATGATCAGAAGATTGTGTAGCGGTTCCTAGTAAAATTCTTTCATTCTTTTGCAACATATTTACAAAGTTTTTTTTTTATTGTACGAATTTCTTTTTTCTTCTAGTCGTGCTACAAGCAGAGCCGATTCCAAGAGACATTAACTTCAGGATAAACAAACGCTGTAAGTAATATTATCTTATTCTTTGCATATTCCTTTGCTTATGAGTGCAAGTGTACGTATTGAAATACTTGAAATACTTCTAGAAGGGTTTTTGTATTATGCTGACACGATCCTTTTAAAAAATCGCGAAAAAAAAGAAGAAAAAAACCCAGATTTCTGGAGCGTCAAAGATAAGCAAACGCACATTTTGAAAAATTACGATGCATGAAACAGGTTGCAAATGGGTAACTAAATAAAAGGAACGTTATTTTACTCACACACACACATACACACACACAAATATATATATATATATATATATATATATATATATATATATATATATATATATATATATATATATATATATATTTTTTGGGTATGACCTAAAACTACACCGAACAATAGAGTCTTGAAGAGTGGACAGAATAAGGGTACCACGAACCATTTTTACCTACAAATGATCTGTGGCTAAGACCTAGCACCTGATTGCCGTCTTACTAGAGGTATGTTTTTTTTATTTACACAATAGACACATGGGGAGGGTCTTACATTTTTTATTGGATGATTAACATGAATGGAAATAAGATAAGAGTGGGTAGAATCGGTTCCATGTGTGTGCTTGCGTGTGTGTGTGTGTGTGTGTGTGTGTGTGTGTATGTGTGTGTGTGCTTGTATATATCTCAGTGATAGAAATAAAGATCATTACTCACCACCTCGAGCCGAGTGCGTCGCCCTATTCTTTCTTTCTTTCTTTTTATGTGCCATCTCCTTTAATGACGTAGGCGATAATGGCTCTCCACCTCCCTCTATCCCTTACAGCTCTCAACAAATTCCTTCCCTCTGTTTCCTCTCCCAAACCACATTCTGTCATCCACTTGCTTAAGGCCTCTAGGTATGCCACGCGTTGTTTTCCCTTGTCTCTCTTTCCCTCTATTCGACCCGTGAGTATCAGATTCTCCAGGCCCTCCTTCCTCTTTATGTGTCCCAGAAACTTCAGCTGCCTCTTCCTGATGTTAAGTATAAGCCTCCTCCTTGTTTGCAACCTCTCTAAGACCTCATCTTTATTCACATGTTCGGTCCATATCCTCAGCTTCCTTCTGTAGAACCAAATCTTCGTCGCCTCGCAGCTCTTCTTCATCTTTGAGGAAATCGTTCAACATTCGCTGCCGTAAAGAAGGACACGTAACAGCTCAGTATTCTTTTCTTTGTTACCAAAGAAATCCTTCTCTTTCGCAGTAATCTGCCCAGCTTTTGGAATGTGTCCCTGGCTATATTTCTTACCAGAGCGAAACCGTTACTGAGTTTGCTTCTTTTTTTAATGGACGAGCGAAGATAGCTAGTGAACCGGAAGTTATCTGTGATTGGGCTATAAATTACCAACGGGAGTCGCAGTATGTAATTAAAAACAAGGAAAATTGTAGCTGACGGATGGTACACAATGGATCACTGTGGAGAGGTGGGGGGATGATGTTGAAAGACCCGAACCCCTAGACTCAAACATTACTGATGATGTGTATCAAAGCACCAAACAGACTTTACGAAGGCGTTTGTTTATTTATTTTTGAATAATAAGCGTTCATTAATTTAAAAAAAAAAAAACGTTAGGAAATCAATTGACGGGAAAAAAAATACCGAAAGGTTGAAACCAGAAACCAAGGTAGGAAATCGGTTGATCTCCTAATTATATATATATATATATATATATATATATATATATATATATATATATATATATATATATATATATAATAATGCATGTTTCATTAAATAATATAGACAAGTTTTGTCTATTTATTTTAAGCAAATTCCTTTCATATCGCCTAAGCTTAATAACATTATCATTGAAAGGTGAAAAAAAATCACCATATTGATACATGCTTTTTAATCCTATCTAAGCTTTCGGCTTACATAAGCCATCATCAGAGATGACAAGTACATTACAATAAATTAAACAATACACGGACATAGCGACAATGATAGTCTGTTTTGTTTGTTTTAATGATGGCTTATGTAAGCCGAAAGCTTAGATAGGATTAAAAAACATGTATCAATATGGTGATTTTCTTTCGTCTTTCAGTGATAATGTTATTAAGCTTATCAGAGGATATGAAAGGAATTTGCTAAAAATAAATAGACAAAACTTGTCTATATTATTTAATGATCATGCATTAATGAAAAAATGCTGCCTAAATATGCACAATATATATATATATATATATATATATATATATATATATGTATATTCATTCTTCATCACTATCATCAGGTTTTCTCCTCAGAGTTTCTTTCATTGGACCAAAGAGATGGAAGTTTGAGGATGCTAAGTGATGAAGTGAAAACAACTCTCAGGAATTGGCTACATCGGCATCCAGCTGAGTTGTACACGCCATCATTCGCAGATGGGACACTGCCATTAAAATAGGCGCTGACTATGTTGAGAAGTAGGGATGTGAACCTATGATATATAGCTGTATCTTGATGTACGATATGTTTTATTGTTTTTCTCATTTCTAATATGATAAAACAAATTACAATACTTTTTGACTCACCCTCGTATATTCAGTCATCTTACAGTTAACATGTCTGGAGTTGAACACTCACCGCGAGTAGTGAAGGAAACTCCCCAACAATGATGAAATTGATATGTTCAATTTGATTTCAAAAAGTACCCGAATAAGGGTTATTAAAATTGTAAATATCTAGGATGTGTTTTAACAGAGGACGGAAGATGTGACACAGAAATCCGAACGCGCATGGGAATAGCAGAAGATGGTCTCCGAAACCTAAGCAAATGATTAAGAAACAGGAAAATTTCCCTTGAATAAAGAAAATAATACTGAATTGCTATGTAATATCAACCCTCTTGTATGACAGTGAATGCTACGAAGTCAATTTCCACACAGATGATGAGGCGTGAGACAGCAGAAATGTTGTTCTACAGAAGGGTGTCGAGAATACCATGGACGGAGAATGTAAACTATGAAGAAGTCTTAAGGAAAATGGAAACAGAAAGAACTCTTATATTCAGAATCAAAAATAGACAGTTGAAATTGTTGGGACGCATAACGAGGAAGGAGGGCTTGGAAAATTTAACACTCACAGAACATATCTGGGTAGTACTGGACACTTTTTTTTGAAAACTGGACACTTGTTTCGTTTGGAAACAGGCGATCGCCTCAATAAGAACGGAAATAAAGAATATGCTGTAGACGAGATTTGAAAACTGGAAACTTATTTTAAGGAATAAAACACAGGTCACAATTAACAATAATTGTTAGCAATACATCCCAAAGATCCCGACAGAAATAAGAATGCATCTAGAAAAATTAAAAGGACTGACAACGGGCGAGTCGTGAACAATAAAAGTGGTAATGGAGAGTCAGGCTAGGTAGTCGTAGGAGAGTAAGATGAACATAAATGAAGAGCAGTGATTTGGATGATTTCTTCATAACTGTGACAATTCAACCGTTATTGATGATGAATAAAAGCTGTGATTTGAATAATGGTCAGATAAGGTGGAAACCAGACGAATCTCTCTCGTCTGGTTACGGGACAAATTAAATCTGTGCAAATTTTGCCCATGAATTATTCGAATTATTAATTTCGTTTTTCTGGTTTCTCTCGTTATCCGGCTTGGATTGTATTATCTCTAGATCACGTAAATTCAGAATTCATCAAAACTATTCGGACGTGTACCCTCGTCTTTCTGTTTTCAGTCGCTTCCCTGCTTGGCTTGTATTATCTCTCGATCCGTAATTTTAGAATTCCTCGAAGTATTCGAACGTGTATCCTCATCTTTCTAGTTTTGATCACTTTTCCGACCAACGAGAATCTAGAATGATTGGAATACTTATTATTATTATTATTATTATTATACTGCTACTCTCGGGAAGATATGGTAACGTGTTTTTCCAAATGCTCACTAGCTGAAACTTTTGACTGAACCCCGTCAAAATTGACAGTAAGTGTAAACAATACAAAAAGAAATGATGCTGACACTGTCCGGGAAGATAAGGTAATAATGGTCGAGGGGTATGCCCTATCGCTTATTCGTTCTCCCTGTTTGCTATCAAATATCATGACATACCAGTGACGAGACTTTGTTGGTGAACCAGAATAAAGGAACGTAGAGTCTTACTTATTCCAAGGTCATTAGCGCCAAATGAACAGAAACAGGATCGGTTGAAATTCACACTCGACCCCTTGGTGATAACCATCATGCTATCTCGCCGGCGTTCACACACGCACATGCACACGAGTAAGAGAGAAGATAGAGAGGAAGAGAGAGAGAGAGAAAGAGAGAGAGAGAGAGAGAGAGAGAGAAGGAAAAGGTGTTAACAGAGAGATATTTTTTGTTTTGCTGTATTACGCAGTTTTTTTTGTTTCTTTTTTTTTTAATGAATCTTTATCGTTCATAACTGTGAATTTGAGCTAACCGTACAGTAGAAATATGGCGGAAAAATTGCATGAAAGACAGAAAGAGGAGGGGGAGAAAGAGAGAGATGAAAGAGTGGAAGAGAGAGAGAGGACAGAAGAGAGATAAAAGGGTGAGAGAGAAAGAAAAGAGAGAGAAAAAAATGAATATTCAGTGAATTTTAGAGATAAAAACTCTTTTGGAGATTCAGTGTGGCTACTGCATTGGAAATTCACCCCCACTTACAAAATTCAAGGTGATGATGATGATGATGATGATGATGATGATCATCATCATCATCATCACCATCATCATCATCATCATCATCATCATCATCATCATCATCATATAAAAATATCCGTTGAAATTTCGTTTTGTTTCATTGGTGTTTTGGGGTTTTCTCTCCAACTAAAGCCAAAAGATATAAACAAACTTCTTTTAACATACACTGACGTCAAATAAAATGTTAAGTATCAATCAGTTTTTGACAATTCTTTATGACTTATCAACCCTTTGAATATTTGGGATTCAAAGATTTATTTATTTATTTATTTATTGCTAGGAAACATAGAATAAACAATTTTTCGAGATTAACTGTAATTTTTCTAGATATAAGTCCTATTTAATCCATATCTCGTGGAAAAGATGGATTTGGTACTTGGGAAAAGTATGAGTCCATCTCTTCTCTCGGCAACTATGGACTGAATAGCAGGACAATGTAAATAGTTTAATAATTACAATACCTCATCTCAGAAATATAGACAGACATATATTTTGTAAATCATAAAATGCATTTTTGGTAATCTATATAATATTAAAAGTCCGTGATTCCTTGCTTGTGCTGTGCACGCGTCCGGCCGATAATGATTTAAGTTAATTTGATTTAAGAGAATAAGATTTAAAAATATGAGTTGTTTATACAGTAAGTATTTTTTATTATAACTTTCTTCAAACAGACAATTTTTTAATTGAAATATTTTTAAATTAAAGACAGACACAAAGAGATCCCGCTTTGCTGTTTCGCCCAGTTTGTAATTATTTATATTTCAGCTGTCTTTAAACAAACAATATATTAAATATTTGAAAATATTTTTAAGTTAATCTAATTTAAAAATATTTTAAGTGAATAAGATTTAAAAATACGAGTTGTTTATATAGTAAATATTTTATTATGACTTGTTTCAAGCAGACATTTTTCTAATTAAACTATTTTTAAGCTAAAGACAGACACAAAGAGATGCCGCTTTGCTGTTTTGTCCATCTGTTTGTAGAGCAATGATTTATATTTCAGTTTTCTATAAACAAACAATATTTTAAATTTAAAAAAAAATATTTTTTCGCATATTTAAAAAATATTTTCTAGTGAATATGATTTTTAAAGATTTTTTGGCATATTAAAATATTTTTAAGTTAATCTGATTTAAAGTTCAAGTTTACCCCGGAAGTTCTAAACCTATTAAACGGCGTAAAGAATCAATAAAACGTTAAACATGAGATTGTAAACCAGACCAATGATAACACGAACGAAGAGAAATATTTAACTGAATCATAATAAAATTAACGTTCATTTCAATGGAACGTTGAAATCAACTTCTGTGTTTTATAACCTGAACCGTCAGTGGCCCAACGGGTCATGGGTAGTCTAATTTTATTATAAAAATGTATCGTTGATTTTTCTTTGAGTGTTCATTTGCCCATAGCTGGAACCCATACAGTTACTACAACCCCGGGTCAGTGTGGACCTGGGAACAACAACACTTAAGAGGTGGTTCGACGCTTCCCAAAGACTCCAAGCTCCCGATCGGATGCCTTGCTGCTGGATGTAGTTTATACCCAGAACGAAGTTTAACAGTGAGGATTAAGCGGCGCCCATCTCTTCTCCAAGTAACATGAGACAAACTGTACTGGGCTATAGCAGCAAATAGTAACTACTGACCTGACATGTAGGGTGAATTGGAATTATGACTTTCCTAAGGGCAATAGTGCGACGTAAACAGACATTTCTCCCAAATTATACCAACATTAAAAGCTACAATCTGTAAATTAATTTGACAACTCAATTAGAATATAGATCATTTGGAAAACAAATTTTGACACGTTTCGACAATGAAACTGCTTCATCAGAAATTAATCAATATAGTTTTCTATAAATTGTCTTACATATTTTTATTCCGTTAGATTTTTAGCCAACGTTTTTTTTCTCTTCATAATATCATAATCATAATATCATATATATCATAATGTCATAATCATAATCTACATCTACACACGCGCGTGCACACACACACACACACACACATACACACACACACACAGAGAGAGGCAAACACACAGACAAAACAAAACACTCAACCTGACATCAATAAACAGCGCATAAATTATTTTTTTAACTTAGTATAAAAATAACGAAAATGAGAAAATCGACAGTCAATTGCTGAGATCTCCTGGAGAGTGGACGAAACGATTACGAAAAGGTTCGTCTACGAAACTCTAGTGTCGAAGTACTGAATATAACATCAATCCGCTAAGTGAGAAATTTTATATATATATATATATATATATATATAAAATAATGAAATTTATTTATTATAAAAAAAAAGCTAACCTCATTATCAAAAATAATAATTCACCTCTAAGATCCAAGTTACAGAAAACCAATATTATTTACGAATTTACATGTCCTTTAAGGAATTTTGTTCCTGGCCAATCCAAATTTGTAAATAATTATATTGAAGGTTTACGTATATATATATATATATATATATATATATATATATATACCATATTTTGCGGCTTACGAGACGCCGCGGCATGGAAGACGCACCCTAAAATTGGAAAGAGACAATACGACATCACATTCACCATGCGTCCCTCACATACTGGCGCCACTTATTGTTTACATTAATCACTTGTCCGATTTTGTATGACAGTGACATACTAGTCAAGAGCCGAAAGCCTTCCACTGCTGCTAGTAAAAAGAGAATGTTTAAGCTCGTGGCTTGGCTCCAGAAAGGTTTATAGTCTTGGAAATACTTGTAACATCTAAGTACTGAGATTCCATCATATGAATTAGATAACTAACATTATAGTGTAATGACTCAACATACAAATCAACGTCCTTATCAGTCAAACCAATTAGGTGAACTTCCACGTTTACTTGAGCCTGGGCGTTGGAAGACGCACACGTATTTTTCAGGGGATTTTTTAAGAAAAACAGTGCGTATTGCAATCCAGAAATTACGGTATAATAAAATGCATTGCAAATGAGGCAAAAGGGATTATCAATGGCCAACTAGTGATTATAGAATCGGGTTATTATATGCATAATATAGATAAACATTTACTATAGAACTTGGTGTTCTTTACTTAAGGCCAACACATAGTGCAACTCACGCCAAAAACTGGGGCCTATCTCAGATTTAGCCGTTCCATTGGGAACGAAGAGTTTTAATTTCGGTTTTGGCTTAAGAAATGTTTGCTTTCTTACATTTGGAATAATTCTTAAGACAATGGTTGAATAAGCTCCTTACGACCATAAAATACGCGTTAAACTTCACCAATCTGGATCGCTAAATATTTGAGCTTAATAACTTTACAAAGTATTGCAATAACAATCATCATTTACAGAAGTAAGAGGGTACAAATGAAAAGAGTGAACATTTCATTGAAGAGTTACGGTCAATACACGCTGAAAACATCAGTTGTCGTTCGATCGTCGAAGTTAAGTAGTTCCAAGCCTGGTCAGTACTTAAATGGGGGACCGCTTAGGAACACCGTGTAGTGCAGGCTCTCCCCTACAACCTGAAATACGTTTCAGCTTTAAATAACTGGCCAAAAGTAAATGAACAAAAAGCAGGCGTTAAACGCATGAGAACATTATCACCTCTAATTACAATATACGCTTTATTTTCTCACTGAAACTAAACAGCATCTCTGATATAGCCTTTTCTTCCGACTTTCCTCGCCATCAAACCGGAATGGTCTATTATTTATCTTAGGTAATGGCAGGCCGTAAAGCACGCGCAACTCTTATTTACGAACTAACGCTAGCGGGGAGGTGGGGAGTCAAACAGAATCATAATCGTGAAATTCGAAATGTTTACGAAATGAATGTCTTGTTTTTATTTCCTGAACGTGTTTCTTTTCTTTCCATTTCAGCTACCAACTGAAAAGAAAGCAAATGGGAGACCCACTTTGAGTTAACCGGGGGAAAAAATAGTGATTTCTGCGGAAGTCCAACGTAATAAATAGAAAGAGATTCGTGCTTCGCTTTTGAAAACTTTAGCAATAAACATTTGACGAGTTACAAATTTCATTTTCTTTCTTTCATTCTCTGAAATTGCTTGCAAAGAACTCCGTTATAGATATTTCTTCTTTTTTTTTCCATGTGTCGTGTCCCTTCAAGACGTGGAGAATTATAGCTCTCCACAACTTACTATCCTTTGTAGCTCCTAGTAAGGTTTGTTTTCGATATTCCTCTTAACCATTTATACAAGATCGTTAGGAAGGTTACCTGCTGTTCCCTCCTCTCTTTTTTTGTCTTCAGCATGAATTTTTTAAAATGACGTTAACCTTGTACAAGGCCCAAGAGCCACTCAAAGTAGAGGAATACAGAATAAGAAGCACCACCCCAAACAAGGTGATAATGTCAAGACGCAAGAGACAACAGGAAGTGGAAAAGAAGAAAAGGACTTTAGAAGCCGGAAACCCAATCCTAGCCAGGAAACATGAGATAAACATCTACTCCTATTCAAAAGATCGTGGAGGGGTGTGAATCGAACGATAGGAAAACCTATCTATCCCTAGAGACGTAACAATACCCTTCATCACAGCATTGAGAGGCTCCCACTATTGCATGGTCCAGAACCGATTCACAAAATGGCAGTACAATACATAGGATATTATACACTTGCTGATAGGATAGTGTATTTCGAAGTTACTCAAAGGTTTGGATCCCTGTCAGGCGGTTAATGCCCAAAACCAGATAACGTTTACGACCAGAACCCTTAACAAAGGGTCAAATAATCCAGGAAATTAGATACAGGAGTGATACCCTGAGGGTACATGTCTCATCTATCCAGAAATCAAGACCACAGAACCCCTTGAGTCAGAAACATCATACCGGTCTAGGACCTCAGGCACCGAGACAAGTCCGTTCATATATAAAAGCTAAAAGACCCACTGGGAGGAGTGGGTGACAAAGGTTTCTCGGAGTGCATCAGTATCCCCTACTTCCATTGGATTTAATATTATTGGGCAAGTAAGGTTCATTGGACGTGAGCTACATTTAGGCCTCTATGGTTGGTGGAGTCTTTTCTGTCTAGTACATGTGCTAGGTAAGATTACGGATCGTTCTGTTAATTCACCCCAAATAATGTAAAGTTACTTACCTCAAATATTAATTCACCACAAGAAATTATAAACTTTAAATCAAAGTTTGTTTTTAATTAAATTTTTGGCACTCTTTTGAAATTTTAAGTCAAAGTTTGATTAGCTTGCCTCGCAAGAACTCCAACATTCAGAATGAAAAATTACCAAAAATCAGGGCGTTATTCACATTTCTTAAGGGCTGATGATATTTGAAGTATTTTTTTTTTTTTTTTTTTTTTTTAAAATTTAAAAATTAAAAAAAAAAAATCTGTTTTTGATTTGTTTATCGAAATGAGCGCGAACGTAGACCCCACACTTAGAAATAGCGCATCCGAATCGCCCACATTTGGGCCGATCGCAAAAGTCAAACCAACCGGAGTGCAATAAAGGGCCTCGCTCTGGGAGAATTTGATATGAGTTTTAGTAAATATAAATTCTTTTTATTTTGGAGTGAATTAACAGAAAAGATCCAAGATTACTTAGTCAATTCCATACTGCCATTCCCCTATTAAGTCGAAATATTCCTTATCAAAATAAAGGTGACTGTGGAATTAAGATTGACCTTATCGCACAGAAAAAAAAATTCAAACTTGTATAAAAGCTCACACAGTTTACATTTAGAACTGGCAAATTTACTTTTTGATATCTTGACCAAAAATTGAATACCCATTCTTCTGGTCGACGCCATTTCAAGTGGTAATCATTTTTTATATGAAAGATCACTTCCCTCTCACTGGGCCGCATTTTCAGAATGTAAATTTGCTCACGCCTCACCAAATTTTATGTGATAAAATTTACATTTAAAAATAAAAATAAAAAAAACAGAGAGAGGATTAAAGGGAGACAACCATGGATTCGAAGTCAGAACATTATCATTGATAACTCTCTCCTCCAATTTGCGGACACTAGTTACTATATTTTTAATTCTTGATACGATACAAAAATATCACAATGATAAAATCGGTCAATAATTATTTATAACTATTTATATTGGGACGCATGCATGCAATTACAAGTAATCAATAATAATATTTTAAATCATCTTTATTTTTGGCATATGAACTTTTAAAACTATTTCTAAATCTTTGATTATCTCAACTGCTATCCTCTTCCGCTTCATCTATGAGTTTTTTCCTCTGTGAACAAAATTTGAAAAAATATATATATATATATATATATATATATATATATATATATATATATATATAAACCATGTTAGTTTTACGACTCAGAGTTTTATGTGTGTACAATCGTCAGGTACTAATTGTTAGGAACTTTTCAATACGGTTTTAAAAAAATTCTGGGTCTCAGGTAATATGTAGTTAATATGTAGTTAATACATACTTTATGGCTCTGTTACACTACATTGAGCACTGTTTTGGTTCCCCCCCCCCAAATTAAATAAATATTTATATGAAAAATCTCAAGATGCACGTAATGCGCATGTGTGTAAGGTTACTCATATCTCTTTATTTAATTATACAGTGTAACCCGGATATAAGAGAGTTGTCGGGACCGGAGAAGAAGTCTCTTATATCCGGGTTTCTCTTATATCCGGGTTTGGTCTGTTTTATATACATTAACACAGGCTCTAATTTGGGACCAGAGAAAATCTCTCTTATATCCGGGTTTCTCTTATATCCGGGTTACACTGTATCTCCAAATGAGAGAAAGAACAGATGGAGTAAAATTCTACTGTTCGTAGCGTTTACTTTAAAAAAAAGGGCTCAATACAAAGTGAAGCAATATATTATTATTTTTATTATAAGAGATAATAATAAAAACATGTTGAAATCGCTACACAAAAGCTTTCATGTTTCAATACTTTGATTGTACTTCTTCAGGTAATGGCAAGTAACTGGTAATTAAATGACTTTTTCTCCACCGCCTGAAGAAGTACAATCGAAGTATTGAAACATGAAAGCTTTTCCGTAGCGATTTCAACATGTTTTATTATAATCTTTTATATATATATATATATATATATATATATATATATATATGCACGCATATTTTAAAAGCAAAATTCAAGTTCTAAGCCCCCACTTCTTCATTATGTGTCCGAGAAATCACCAGTCTGTTTCTGATTCTAAGAAGTGTTCTTTTTGTTTTCATATTTCCTCGTTACTCAGTCCACGGTATTCTCACCATCCTTCTGTAGAACCGTATTTCTCTTGCCTAAAGTTTCTTCTTAGGGAGTGTAGATTGTCCAGCATTCTGCCATACAAGAGGATATTACATAACTGTTGAACACTCTTTATTGCTTCTAACGACATTTTCCTATATTTTAAGATTACTAGAAGTTTTATTGTTGAAGTTATCGCTAACATTTTTGTCGAGATTTACAAACTCTACGTTTCATTCAGTTTCGCAAAGCAATCGATCAAATTTGAAAATACTTTGTCAAAAACCCTAGTAAAATCAACTGTACTTTGAAACCCTTATCTGTTTGCACTTCTCCCTAAAATTTGGTCTTGATCGGTCAATGTATGACTATTTTAGAGGGTGTGATGGACGGGCTAGCGTAAGTGATAGATAGATAGATAGATAGATAGATAGAAGCTGAGCTTTTGAAAGGCATCTTTTGCTATTCCAATACACCTTCGGATTTTAACGCCCTATTTTTCCGTCTCCAGCCAGTGGCACAATTCAAGAGGCAAACTAGAAATCGGAGCCGTTAAAAATCACTCAATTGCAGAGACTTCATTTTCTCTTCAGGTTTATAACAGAAAGCCGAAAAAGTGGCATCTAAATCCAAATGTACATTGCAATAGCGAAATATTCCTTCTAAAATTCAAAAGTATTAAGATACATGAAATTTCATTAGAAACAAAGAAAAGCTGCGCTGTACTATGTAATGCAAATCCTCTCAGACGACAGTGAATGCTGGACAATTCCCGCACAAGAGACACGTGACCACAGTAATGCATTATTACAGAAAGATGGTGATCATTAATTTGGTTTCTACGGATTATCAACCCGTTGCGGTTTTACACTATTTACATTGTTCGGACTATTGTTCTCAACATTATTTGTTATATTCACGACGTTTCGATCGTTGTACGCTTCGAACTTCTTCAGGTGATATACGTTGGAATTTGGAACTGAACCCTTTATTTAAGCAACTGGGGGGTAATTGTTCTAGATCCACGTCCCATGCCTTTTCTGGATATCTCAATTTCAGTTATCTCCCTTCAGTAACTCAACTCTCAAAGTTTTTGTTCACCTCTGCTGGGGCCAGGTATTCAACTCACAACTCTTTGAGCCATGGCTACATGATCCAGTGGGGAAAAAATCCGAACAATATAAACAGTGTGAAGACCTCATTTCAAAAATAGAGACAGATACTTGCAGGTTATTTAAAGCCAGAAAATATTTTAGATTTGTAATTTTTTTTTTTAAAAAAAAAAAAAAAAAAAAAAAAAGATATAATGATTTAGTGATACAAGTTTTACTAACTAACCCATAGCTGGGGAAAGAAGAGGTGTGTTCATACCTTTCCCAAAGGGTATTTGCGCGTAAATGTATATAACGAACCCAACTGGAGTTGGAACTCGCCTCCCCGGTTAACAATTCCGAGCAATTATCGATTGCATCACACGCACATCCAAGCTTACTGCAACTGGTATTCCCAAGCGGTCACCCATCAAGGTAGTGATCAGGCTCGTCGTTGCTGAATTTCGGTGATCGTACAATTTCAACGTGACGTAGCTGTAAGCCTACAGAAAATGATGAGAATACCATGGACTGATCATGCGTACTATGAGGAAGTTTTTAAGGAAAATAGGAAGGAAAATTAGTCCTATATTTCAAATCAGAAAGAGAGTTGAAATTTCTAGGGTACAATGAGGAAAGACGGCTGGGAGGATTTGACACTCTCTGCCAGTAAGGGGAAACATTGAGTAACATATCAAACGCGTTTGTTGTAAATATATGGCAGAACGTTTACTGATGTAACAAATATAACTTATAGCGTCAAAAGGAGAGGGTGCTGTGGAGAGCCATGATCATCCATGTTCCGAAGGGAGAAAGAGTTATCCTATCAGCAGGTAGGTTCTCGTTTTACACAAGGATGATGGAGAGAATTTCTAAAAAGACTTGAATTATTTTTGTAAACAATTTTGGAACAAAATGGATTCTGTAACTGTTGTCGTCAGTGGGTGAACATGAAATGTACTGACGAGTGAATCATGTCCAAGAGCAAGTTTGGGATTTGCAGTGACTAAAATATTCAGGAACTTCTTGATTTCGCTTAATAATCGATGATGAATAACAATTTAACAATTGATGGCTGGAAAGATTTTAAATAGTCTTAAATGACGGTAAGAATAAATCTGTTGTAGTCGTGTCATCTCCCTAGGCCGTTGTTTGGTGGTGGTGGTGGTGTTGTTGTTGTTATGAAGATGATGAAGAATTATTATTGTTATTGATGATGAAGAATCATGATAATAAAAGTATTTACTGGCAAAATAGTCCGGGGTGGGGGGTGGGGTGGGGTGCGTTAAGTAGACCGGTAAAAGTTTGTCTATTTTAGCGAAACCTGAAAAATAGCCTCTTCCGAAGAGGCAAAATCTGACAGACACAGAGTAAAGATCCATCTTATCTCTCCTCACCCCCCACCTTTTATCATTATAAATTGATGCCCTCGCTGAAAACTCTGGTAAATCCCAGGCTTGACCTGCTTCCGGGTCTCCATAGTAACCAGAAAATATTTAGTGACCACAATTATAACTTTGGTGGCGTTATATAATCGATTGTTTGAAAACAAAAAGCCATTCGGTAAATTATAGTCAGATATAATTTATTGTTCCTTGCCATCCGTACCATAATTTGTAAAATGTTAGCTTCTTCAGTCATGTTGCCTGATCCCCTTTTCGATAGACTGTTCCCCGGATATTCGGGGTAAAACTGATCATTTCAGAATTACTAGTGTAATAGAAATCAACAGGGATGAGCCGCAAATGGCAGTACAAGTTTGCTCAGATGAACGGCTTACAATAAAAGGGTACAATGGGTCTGAGAAATTTATAAAAGAAACTCAAAGTTCGCACATTTTATTGAAATTGAATGAATAAAAAAGCAATACAGAAAAAAAAGAAGCTCTATGTGTAGATATTCAGGCTTGTTTGCCTTTGGTTATCGCACGGGAAACATTTATGAATTCTGTGGGGGATAAAAATTGTTTTATTCCAAAGCGCTCACAACAAAACTTTTGCACCGATATGTTGATTTTACTCTTTACTATTGTAAGTATACTCTTCTGGGGGGGGATGTTTACTGGTCAAAGAGGGAATTTCACACAGCTGAAAATGTTTCCGAAATATTACCTTTTGATAGATTTATTTAAACGAGACTAAAGTGTAACTGGAGTCGAGATACCAGATCAGGACCGATTACATTGCAGACTATTCTTTGGATTTTGTTGAAATCTACTATATAGCAGCAATATTCAATGTACGAACTAACGGTAGATTTATAAAATGTAGAAGATGGATCTTGGCGAGAAAAATTGTCTAGCATGATAAAGTGAACCAACTAAACAAGCAGCAGACCCAGCAACTAATCACACCACTTCATGTCAATGGAAAACGTGAGACGAAGAAGGCATAATGAGTGGTTTTCCTGGAGGTTAGCGTCAGCCAGGCTGAAGGCAAAAATGGTTCTTTATGATGATTACAATTATAAGCTGAAGGTAAACATCAAGCTCTGTAACATCGATCTTAAAACGGGCGGCGGGGGCGTAAAAAGGGAGGGACCACTTAAAAAAAAAGCAAAAAAAGCAAAAAAAAAAAAACAAAAAAAAAAACAAACAAACAAACAAAAAAGATCGTCTCTCGAAGCGAAAATACAGGAGCATTGTGGTCTTTGGATTAATCTTAAACAGAGGCAATCTGGTAGAGTTCATATGCCAGGGTACGTCTACCGCGAGATGAAAGAGCCCAATTAATTTACAGGTAATCAAAGAATTTCTCAGCACCTCCTCGTACAGAAAGTTTCATTGCTGCGGTTGATATTCTAAATAAAAGACAAGGTGATGCCACGGTTATTGGCGAAAAAAAAAAAAAAAAAATCAATACTGGTGAACAGACTTCTGTTTTGGGGGTTGATCGATAGCGGTCACATCGAACTAAGACTCAGGAGAACGGAATGCACCAATTTCGTCGATGTGCTCAGTTCTTTCGACAAAAAAAAAAAAAAAAAAAAAAGTATTGATTTAATAAAAAAAATTAAATAAGAATAACGTTAACGGCAGCTCCCGATCGTTGACAAAATTGTAATCCCCCCCCCTCCCCAGCAATCGGAATAGACAAAGAGCACTCCCTTAAACACGGTGATGTGCCATATTCAGTTCGAGGTTGGTGGTGGTCGTATGAATAATTCAGGATAATTTTTACATTTGCTTGATGATAGCTTCACGTAAATTTGGGATTTTCCACCACACACTTCACTTACGCTTCTCCCATATTTTCAATGTTTCCAGTAAATATACAAAAATCATTGAACTGTATATATTAGATAAACACTTAATATCGAGACGCATTCAAATAAGTAAAGGATTACCAAGAATTAACTGACACATTTGATTCATTTTATATTTAACATTTTCACTGCTGCATTGTTGTTTGGCTGTCCTAACCAGTTTTTGTGAAAATAATACATTTCAATTTACTGGGGAAATAAATGACTATAAAAAACGCTGAGTGATTTCTCATGGGCGTTACCCTTTTGGTTTCAACCGAACGCACAGCAGTACAGACTAAACTAAACGATATCCCCAGCAAAGAATGTAATAAAAAATAAATACGTCACAGTACTGCCAATGTTGCATGCTACTATCTGCGTACGCTGGCATGAAAATAGCACTAAGCGAGTTTGTATCACTAACGGTGTTGAAGGACTTTCACCTGGTTTTCTAAACTTATATATCCATGTCAACAGCAGGCATTGAATCTGCCAATTGTTATATGACCAACAGTTTTTTATGGCAATTTTAAGTTTTTTTTTTTTGTTTAAAATGTTTCATTAAAAAAGAGAGAAAAAATAAAATATGTCGAGATATATATATATTTTTTTTTTAAAGGAAATAATACGAGTATTCATATTTGGTGTTATATTTAACAAGGGGAATTAAAACAAAATGCTGGTGCTGATTGTGTTAACAAAAATTGAATATGTGAACCAAAATTTCAGGAAAAGACAAAACACAGTGGAGATGAAAGTGGGAGTATAGGATTCATACGGATGCTTAAAGTTTGGCAAAATTGAAAAGACAAAAGAAAAAGAAATGTCTTGTAGCAGACAAAGCAGCTTTCGAAATAAAATTGAAAAGAAAACAAAAAGAAAACAAAAAGCATCCAAGTTTAAAAAAAAAAAAAAATGGCTCCTCAGAAAAACAAACAATTGTTCTGTTTTAAGATTTTCGATTGAATTCTTTTTGTAATATTGCCATCTGTGAATAATAGATCTAACAAAATACTTGGACGTTCTTTTTCTTTCAAAAATTCCATTCTGTAATTAAACTGACGACGTATTAATCCAAGCGAAACAATAAGCGGATTGTACTTTTAAGTGTTAGCTTGTTCAAAATGGCGGCATTTTAAGTAAAAATATCCTAACCTTCCACAAATTGTAAATTTTTATATAGCGTAATTTATTAATTTAAACAGTGCATCAGTTTTTAGCATAAAAATTTCTTAGCGAACTAAACGCATTAGATCTTCGAAATGTTAATACAATTATTTCTAATCTTATTTTAAGATGTTTTTTTAATGTTTCAACGTATTAAAATTTTAAATTTTTAAATATTTTCGAGAAATTGTATAAATAAATATAGTTGTCCCCCTTTGAAAGACCTTTCTCTTTTAATAATTTTTTTATATGATATAAACGTTACATAATATGACTTTTCCATATTTGATTTCTACCAACCAAATACATTTTTTTTTCATAAAGATAAACTCATTTCAAATATATATTATTAAAATTTAGATTTCTTGTCAAAAGATATTGTTTTCGTTTGAAAGCTCTGAATCCTGGAGTTTCCCCAAAATATCTAAACCCCAAAATGTATCTAAACGAAAGAGGCGAACCATCTTTTGCTGTGTTTTTTTTTTCCTCGTTTTTTTTTTTTTTTTCTCTTCTTTAGTATGTATTACACTTTGGGTGGGGGTGAATATATGTATATACAAACACACAGGAAGTATAACAAAAAAGTAAAACCTCACTCCACTACGGTAAAAAAAAAAAAAAAAAAGAAAAAAAAGATACCGTGTTACTTTCAAATAGAATTAGTGATTTGAAAAACGAATTGGTCAAGAATTCATTTCTTCTTAGAACTAACATTTTATATTTTCCCATACATGATAAATGCATGTATTTTTTTAAAATTATCCTTAAAACTTCTAGACTTCAACAACCATAACATTATTTTAATGTAATCGGGGGCGTGTATACGATGCACTGCGATCGGAAATAATTTTTCCGAATTATTTTTTTCTTTTTTGTATTATAAATTAAATCACTCCATATCCCGAATATTAATTTATCTTTCATTGAATTTTATTAAAGTTAATAGTAAGGAGGATCCGGATAGCTATGTAAATTCATTGTAAATTCAACAGGTTCCTCCCCTTACGGAAGCCAAAACAATTATGTTAATTCGACGTAATTTCTTAAAGAGATTCGTAATCACACACACATATATATATATATATATATATATATATATATATATATATATATATATATATATATATATATATAAAGCAATGTTCATCAAAAGATTACGAATTGATATATATTTAAAATGTTAAAAAAAAAAAATCACGTCGTGTATACACCTTGTTTTGAGGGAAGGGACTTCAACAAGGTAATCATATTACAATTAATTTACATAGCAAACTGGACCCCCCTCACTTTCATAGAATTTGGGGGGATATTTATGATCTGAAGTGCTTATATATATATATTTCTAGTCGCAGTGCCTTTAGTACAACCCCCCACCATGTCATTCATTCGATACCATAACTTAACGCACGTGAAAATATAAAATTCATTTTTTCGTAAAGAGGTGGGGGAGTCTCAGAGTTGCAGTGTTTAAATGAATTCAAATATTTCATTATAAAAACACTTATTTCCTTAAATTTGAAATTTTTTTTTTATTTTTTCTTTTAATTATTTCCTCATGGGTCGGGACATTGGAAGATACTGATTCGAAGAGGACGTATTTGTTCCATCTGGAATCGGCAACAACCTGGGCAAGTCGAAAGTGAATTCCAGTTCACCTTCTTTGAGTGGAGAGGTGCGCAGGGCCGGTGACGTACTCACAGAACTGTTACCGTCTCCACCACAGCCAGAATCGTAAGCCTCTTCCTCGTCGTCCTTCTTTTGGGCAGACATACAAGACGAAGTGGCTTCTATGCAAATGTTTTTCGAGGGGCTCCAAGAATTGAGAGAAGTTACGTATCTAGGTAATACAGTAATGGTTAAGCGGTTCTGGTTTGAGCGAGGGAGTAAAGAATGGTTATTCTGGACCTGGTATAAATGGCTGGAATCTGGAATTAAGTAATCGTCAGAAATTTTACTGTTTCCAGGAGACTGGTGCATCTTTGGAATTTCATTTCTCATTGCTTGATAACTGAAAGAAAAAAAATTTAAAAAAATGATAAAAAAAGGAAAAAAATGATAAAAAAAAAAAAAAAATGGAAAAAAGGAAAAGAAAAAAAAGAAAAGAAAAAAAAAAAAAAAAAAAAAAAAAAGAAAAAAAAAAAAAAAAAAAAGAAAAAAAAAAAAAAAAAAAAAAAAAAAAAAAAAAAAAAAGAAAAGAAAAGAAAAAAAAAGAAAAGAAAAAAAAAAAAAAAAAAGAAAAAGAAAAAAAGAAAGAAAAGAAAAAAAAAAAAAGAAAAGAAAAGAAAGAAAAAGAAAAAAAAAGAAAAAAAAAAAGAAAAAAAAGAAAAAAAAAAAAAAAAAAAAAAAAAAAGAAAAAAAAAAGAAAAGAAAAAAAAAAAAAAAAAGAAAAAAAAAAAAAAAAAAAAGAAAAAAAAAAAAAAAAAAAAAAAAAAAAAAAAAAAAAAAAAAAAAAAAAAAAAAAAAAAAAAAAGAAAAAGAAAAAGAAAAAAGAAAAAAAAAAAAAAAAAAAAAAAAAAAAAAGAAAAAAAGAAGAAAAAAAAGAAAAAAAAGAAAAAAGAAGGAAAAAAAGAAGAAAAAAAAAAAAAAAAAAAAAAAGAAGAAAAAAAAAGAAGAAAAAAAAAGAAGAAAAAAAAAGAAGAAAAAAAGAAGAAAAAAAAAAAAAAGAAGAAAAAACGTACAGCGGTTTATCAGGTAAAGATTGTTTAGTCAAGAGGTAAAAATTTCAAAGAAAAATAAACTCCCAATTAACAAGCAATCGTTTACTATTTCTCAACCCCAAATCAGCTGATATAAACTAAGGCTAGTTTCCACACGGGCATTATTTATAACCACTGAAAATACATTGTTTTTCAAGGTCACGACGCGCCGGGTGGGCTGGCAGGCACGTTCGAAAGCCATTCGAACCCCCACGGCCATTAGCAAATATCTTTCAAGCACTGGTTTTCCAAGCAATGTTGTAAAGTTCAGTTTTAGTCTTAATTTTCTTATGCATAATAAAGCCACGATTTTTCATGAGAATTGCATAACGCCGCAGAAAAATTCAACCTGAATCCGGCGCTCGCACCCTCAAAATTGAATACATAAGTTGTCGGCTGTCAAGTTTAATATTTTATGTCTTCTCCAGAATTTGCAGTGTTTCTGGTTGCTGTCCCACCGCCACCTTCCATAGCATTTTGTCACTTGAAAGCTTCGCATGGAAAAAGAAATGGAAATTTAATTTAGGTTCTTGCAATATATTTTGGCCCTTTGACTCTGGCTGGGAATCACATCACACGTATTCTTCTCTTCCCACAAACGAGACACAGTCGCCATTGCAATTTAATCGAAAATCGAAAACTAGTCAGTTATTAACATATTTTTTATGTGATGTTTCCCTTCGGGTCATAGGCGATTATAGCCCTCCACATTTTCCTGTCCCTTGTAGCTATTACGTTTTATCTTTTTGCTTTTCTTCCAGACCCTCTTCTATCATCTATTTGCTCAAGTTCTTCAATTGTGTTACGTGCTGCTTTCCTCTGTCCCTCAGTCTGTCCTGTGAGCATCTGGTTTTCCAAGACCTCCGTCCTCATGTGCTCCAGAAATTTTAACTGCTTCTTCCTGATGACAAGTATAACTTTCCTTTTTGTTGCTATTCTCTCCAAAACCTCGTCGTTGCTCACAAGTTCGGTCTATGGTATCCTCAGCATCTTTCTGTAGAAGCACATTTCTGTTGCTTCAAGTCTCTTCCTTATCTTTGAGGAGATTATCCAGCATTCGCTGCCGTACAGGAGGACAAATATCACATAACAGTTCAATACTCTTTTCTTTGTTTCTAAGAAAATTTTCTGTCTCTTAATACTCTGCTTAGCTTTTGGAAGGCATCTTTGGCCATACGTCTTCGGATCTCAGTGTCGCATTTTCTGTCCTCTGTTAGAAGACTTCCCAGATATTTAAATTTTTGTACTTGTTTGATTTTAGTTTCCCCGATTTGTAATTTTCATTTTGGGCGCATCCTTTTTGCTGATAATCGTGCATTGTCTTATAGTTTATACTTAGTCCTTTCTTCTCGCTTTCCCTCAATATCTTTTGTATTTCCTTTCCGTGTCTGCTATCAGCACTGTGTCATCTGCATATTTTATATTGTTAAGATCGTGGCCGCCAATAATGAATCCTAGCAAGACTTCAAATTCTCTCAGAATTACCCCGCTGTATAGGTTGAATACATCCGATAAGACACAGACACACATACCAAGAAATTGTGGAGAGCCATGTTCACTAACCTCCTGAAGGAACACAGCACTTAGAAAATTAAATTCCAAACTACTATTTAAGAAGAGTTATATTAATATTTTTTTTTTTTTTAAATGTGAAACATTTAAGCATGCCCTTAAATAGCAGTTTGGAATTTAATCTTCTATGTGCCATGTCACTTCAGGACGTTGGCTATCATGGCTCTCCACAATTTCCTTTTCATTCCAGCTCTTAGTAAATTTCGTCTTTGCTGTCTCGTTTAAATCCTCTTCTACCATCCATTTACACAAGTACGTTAGGTCAGTTATACATTGTTTTAACTCTTTCCTTCAATATGTCCTGCGGTTTTGATCGATTTTTTAAGGCTTATCAACCCTCTGCAGGTTATTTAAAACCGAAAAATATTTTTTAGGTTGTAATTTTTAATTCTTTTTATTTTAGGAGATAATGGTTTCAGTGATACAAATCTTAATTAATCCATAGCTTGGGGGGGGGGCAGAAGAGATGGATTCATACATTTCCCGAGGGCATTTTCACGTAAATGAATACAACGAACCCAGCAGGAATTGAAACTCGACTTTCTGATTAACAATTCCAAGCAATTATCGATTACACCTCCATTACATCCAAGCTTACAGCCCCTGGCATTCTCAAGCTGTCACCATCTAGGTACTTGACGTTGCTTAACTGTACAGGAACCGGTGCTTCGGCCAGATTTGGTCGCAAGTCACTGTACTGTGGGTTGATAAACCGTAAAAAAGGAATCAATCAGTATGTCCTGTGAGTCTCCTCTTCCTTCATTATGTGCCCTAGAAATTTCAACTGTCTTTCTGATGTTAAGTATAAGTTCTACTTAATGTTTTAGAGAAAATAGAAGCAAAAAGAACACTTGTACAAATATCTTTTTTGTTTCCATTTTCTCTAAGATGCATTGCTCACATGTTCAAGTCCATTTTATTCTCAGCATCGTTCTGTAGAACCACATTTCTGATACTTCAAGTCTCTTCGTCATCTATGACGAAATTGTCCGGCATCCACTACCATATCTGAAGACCGATATTACGTAACAATTCGCTACCCTTTTCTTTGTTTCTAACGAAATTTTACTGTTAATACTTTGCTTGTTTTGAAAAAAAATTAAATTGATATTCAGTTTTACCCTTCTTCACATGTCGCAATGGTTGTTCCATTATTTGTTGTCAAATTCTGAGGTTTCTCTATTGCTTCGAGTTCGAGGTACTGGTTACTGCTCGACATAAGTTGTTCAATAGAATATCGTAACAGCGAGAAATCAGGTCGTAGGTTGGGATCTGCGTTCCAACACTGCATCATCAGGAAATACCTGCGAATGTCAAAAATGAAATGTATAAACATATGTTGGGAGCTTTTCTTTAAGTGAGAAAAAAAAAAAAAAAAAAAAAAACGAAGCATACAAAAAAGGTAGACATTCGAGATACGAACTATTTAAAAACACACTTTCCCAGTTAAGACAAAAAAAAAAACAAAAACAACACCTCTCACCACATCCAAAACGAGGTGAGGGGAAAAGTAGGGTAGCCAGGCGCTAAAGACATGATGCAAAAAAACAAAACAAAAAAAAAAACAGTAGAAGTAACTAGTTTTCAAAGAGACGAGAGACGAGGGCAGAGAAGAGCAGAGACGAGAGCAGAGAAGAGCAGAGAAGAGCAGAGACGAGAGACGAGGGCAGAGACGAGAGACGAGGGCAGAGAAGAGCAGAGACGAGAGACGAGGGCAGAGACGAGAGCAGAGACGAGGGCAGAGAAGAGCAGAGACGAGAGCAGAGACGAGGGCAGAGACGAGGGCAGAGACGAGGGCAGAGAAGAGAGACGAGGGCAGAGACGAGGGCAGAGACGAGAGACGAGGGCAGAGACGAGGGCAGAGACGAGAGACGAGGGCAGAGAGGCAGAGGGCAGAGATGAGAGACGAGGGCAGAGATGAGAGACGACGAGGGCAGAGACGAGGGCAGAGACGAGAGATGAGGGCAGAGACAGAGGAGAGAGAGGGAGAGACAGAGAGAGACGAGGGCAGAGACAGAGATGAGAGAGAGAGAAGAGCAGAGAGGGCAGAGAAGAGCAGAGATGAGACGAGGGCAGATGACAAGAGCAGAGAAGAGCAGAGATGAGGGGCAGAGAAGAGAAGAGACGATGAGAGATGAGGCAGAGAAGGAGAGAGGCAGAGACGAGAGATGAGAGACGAGGGCAGAGACGAGAGGCAGAGATGAGCAGAGATGAGGGGCAGAGAAGACAGAGATGAGGGCAGAGAAGAGCAGAGATGAGAGATGAGGAAGAGAAGAGCAGAGACGAGAGAGAGGAAGAGCAGAGACGAGGGCAGAGACGAGGGGGCAGAGACGATGACAGACGAGGAGGCAGAGGACGAGAGCAGAGAGACGAGAGACGAGGCAGAGAAGAGCAGAGACGAGAGACGAAGGGCAGAGAAGAGCAGAGAAGAGAGACGAGGGCAGAGAAGAGGGATGAGAGAGAGAGAGACGAGAGCAGAGACGAGAGCAGAGAGAGGCAGAGACGAGGGCAGAGATGAGAAGAGACGAGGGTAGAGATGAGAGAGAGACGAGAGGCGAGAGGGAGAAGGCAGAGACGAGACGAGAGGAGGGCAGGGGAGAGGGCAGAGAGAGAGACGAGGGAGAGAAGAGCAGAGATGAGAGACGAGGGCAGAGAAGAGCAGAGGGAGAGACGAGGGCAGAGAGAGAGACGAGAGACGAGGGCAGAGAATAGAGATGAGAGACGAGGGCAGAGAAGAGCAGAGAGGGCAGAGAAGAGCAGAGACGAGCAGGGCAGAGAAGAGAGATGAGAGCAGAGACGAGGACGAGGGCAGAGAGAGAGATGAGAGAAGAGCAGAGCGAGAGACGAGGGCAGAAGAGAGACGAGAGAGAAGAGCAGAGACGAGGGCAGAGAAGAGCAGGAGATGAGCAGAGACGAGGGCAGAGAAGAGCAGAGATGAGAGCAGAGACGAGAGCAGAGACGAGGGCAGAGAAGAGCAGAGACGAGAGAGAGAGACGAGGGCAGAGAAGAGCAGAGATGAGCAGAGATGAGAGACAGTGAGGCAGAGATGAGAGCAGAGAGAGAGGGAGAGAGGGAGAGAAGAGACAGAGAGGGGGGCAGAGAAGAGAGAGACGAGGGCAGAGACGAGAGACGAGGGCAGAGAAGAGAAGAGACGAGGGCAGAGAGAGGGCAGAGACGAGAGACGAGGGCAGTAGACGAGAGACGAGGGCAGAGACGAGAGACGAGGGCAGAGATGAGAGAGGGCAGAGACGAGAGATGAGGGCAGAGATGAGAGACGAGGGCAGAGATGAGAGACAGATGAGAGAGACGAGAACAGAGACGAGAGACGAGAACAGAGACGAGAGACGAGAACAGAGACGAGAGACGAGAACAGAGACGAGAGACGAGAACAGAGCAGAGAGCAGAGACGAGAGGAGAGACGAGAGCAGAGACGAGAGAAGATCGCCGACAGTGTGGGATAGGGGACTGACAAGAGACGTTCAAGGACGGCCAGAAACAGCGACAGTGGACGGCCATAGGGATAAGGAGAGTGATGAATCGCATGCTGAAAATCTACTTCCCAAACGGTGCGCGCGACTAAAAGAGAGGGGGGGGGACCCCAAAACCTAACTCTGCCGAGGAAACCCCAAAACATTTACACTTACAGTTTTTCGTCACAGCGTTGCGGCCGCGAGAGTCGGTTTCCTTGCTCCAAAGAGCAATAAAGTTCCATTCCACTGCATCCTGGATAAGGGCAACTACCAAGCGATGTTATCTCCCAAAGAACAACGCCAAAGGACCATCTGAAAATAGAAATGAAAGGATACAGAAATTATCAATATTTGTTAAGCGCCTAACTTAGCGATATATTCAGAGATCTTCTCTCATTGATAGCTTAGAGACAGTGTCCCTCTCAGAGTGCAACACATAGTTAAGTTTTAAAATATCTATCTATGGACTAGTTGACCAAAATGTTGAACGAAAGTGCTACTGATTGTCTGAAGAGATTACGTAATAATATTACAAGGCAGGGTTATCCAATTTGGTTACGTTTAAAAACGGAGCCGATGTTCAGAAAACTTGAAAAATTACTTGCTTACTTATTTTAGTGCATCATTTTTACTTACAATTATTGTCACGTGACAGAAATAAGAGTCAGTTCATTATTAATACGATTTAGCCATAAATTATCAATACTGCTTTTTTACAGCAATCTGTAAAAACAGCAATAGTAAGTAATACACTTAGTCGAAACAATATATATATATATATATATATATATATTATATATAATATATATATAATGATAGTATGAACAAGTAGAAAACAGATCTTAATCTAACATGTTTCCCTTTATCAAAGCTTCGTCGGAGATCAAGATAGAGTGATAAAAAGCTGATGAAAAATATTTTTATCTCTGACGAAGCTTTAAAAAAGTGAAACATGTTAGATTAAGATACGTTTTACGGATTCGTTTTCCTATCATATATATATATATATATATATATATATATATATATAATTTGTAGAAATCCGTTTCAGAATTGTTGAAAAATTCTAACAGATTTAAGTACTGAAAACTCTTCACACAGAAAGTAACTCAATTTTAGTAAATTTGACAGGCTCCAGATATTTGAATCTTTGTATTCATGTATTAACCAACCAGCGACGTCATACGAAACGCGCGGTATTCTTCGAGTCGACAAACAGTAAAATCTTAGAATGAGCTTTTGGAGGCTTAACTTCAGAATAGGTTCAACAATAAAAAGGAATTTGAAAAGAATATTTATAGCGATTAATAAATCTAAATTTTAGTTTCATCGAAGTCTACATTATTATATATATAATCAATTCTTGGCCACTAACCAGTCTTTCAGTGAACCTTTGATCAGGGTGTTTGTTCGAACGTTAGTCACAGAAACGAAACATTTTCGCAAAAAGTCAGACAGATATATATATATATATATATATATAAGAGAGCGAAACATAAAGAGAGTGGGAGCGAGACGGGCAGCGAGATAAAGAGAGCGAATCAGATATAAATAGAGAGAGAGAGAGAGAGAGAGAGAGAGAAATATACAGCGTAGAGATGAGGAAGGAAAAACACGACAGTATCTTACACATCGCTTTTTATTGTAAAAATCAAATCCTTCAGTGTTTCTAAGGCCATCCATTTGTAAGGCAGTTTCTGTCGGGTGCTGGGCAAATAAAGATTGCTCTCGTAGACGTCTCTGGCCAAACCAAAATCGGAAATTTTAACGAGATCCGACGAGGCTACAAGTATATTCCGAGCGGCAAGGTCTCTATGCACAATCTTTTGGCTCGAGAGGTATTCCTGAAGAGAAGTGAATTAAATAATCTGAGAAAGAAACAGAACTGGAATAAAATAAAGCTTTTTTTTTTTTAAAAAAAAAACTCCTTCAATCCTTTCGTGTCCTTTTATAACAAGATGAAAAAATATATATTCGTGTTGGCTAAGCTTTAAAATTATCTCTGTAACGGAGATGCCGTATTTTAAGTCGTATAAGATTTCTCCACATTTATATTTAATAATGTATTTTTTTTTATTGGGCTTCTGCAATATCAGAAGCCCAGTAAAAAAAAAAAAAAAAATTACGAAATGTATTGATCGGCATTTCTCTCGGAGTATAGTATTTGTGCCTCCTGCTAAAATTGTTCCACACACCAATGTGTGTGTGTGTGTGTGTGTGTGTGTGTGTGTGTGTGTGTGTCCGTACGAGCGAGCGAGCGTGCTGAATTGAGGGAAAACATGTAATCAGTCCTTGAGAGAATATGAAGTCAGACTGATTTAATACAGCCGACAGTCGACGCTTGAAATGCATCAAAAGTTAATTACACGCAAATAATTCAAATAAGTATACATAAAATTTCTTAAGTGAAATATTGGTTATTTTATCACAAATTATTCATAAATTATACGAATTTCGGTTTTCATCAGAATAGTATGGCCCAGTAATTTTTTTGCTCAAAAAAAAAAAAAAAAAAAAAAAAAAAAGTAAGGCTAGATGCAAATTTATCGGTTGTCTTCGAACGAAATTTTCCTCTATCAGGAATAATTAACCTCAGAAAATAAAACAATATTTGTTATAAACACTTGTTTTATTTTCTTTTTGATGGCCATTTTTTTTTCTTTTCTTTTTTTTAGATTTTTAAAAAAATTTTAAACTGTTTTCTATGTGTTTTATTAAAGAGTCCGAAACGATTCCGGAAGAAGTCATTTAGAGCAAATAAAGGAAAGAATAAAATAAATTTTATGGTCAGAATTATAAGATAGGATATAAGTATCTTGAAACACCGGGCACCCTTTCAGACTGGCCACGCACCCGGGCACCCTTTCAGACTGGCCACGCACCCGGGCACCCTTTCAGACTGGCAAACAAGAAGTCTCCATTTGTAGCTTCTGCAGTATTCCTTTTGACTGGACTAACACAGTATCTTTTCTTGGTCATTATACACAATATAATAATCTGGCACATCTACGTGATATAATGATTAGCAAGCGTGTCCCGCTAGACCAATTACGTCTGAATAGACAGTTCGGTCCTCAGAGAGTGCTCCATACTTTCGGCCTTGTGTCACATCTAAGCTATGGTTAGAAAAACCACCATTACATATAAGAGAAATTGGATTCAAGAAAAGAGAAAAACAGAAAAAAAAATCTTACCATTCCAATCGCGATTTGACGCGCATATGATAACATTGTCAGTTGACCCAATTCTTGCGAACCTGAATAGATATTTAAAAATAAAAGTAACTGCGTGTTTTGTAGGCGGGGTGGGGTCTGAAGCAGGAAAAAAAAAAGATAGGTTATCAACTGTAGAATTTAAGTTTTTACACTCAGGGGAACAAGAAGATCACTTTCGTTTACAACTCTTCATAATTTACAGTTTTGTGCAGTATATAGAATGAAACATAAATTTAAGAGGACATGTTACAAAATTCAAACTGATATATATTAAACCCTGGCTCTAATCTCGTTATGGTCGATGTGTCAAAGAGATGGTCCCTTCAGAATAAATCACTGAAAACCATAAAACTGTGAGGGAAATTAGGGAGATTGAACAGTTCGGGAGTCGTCGATGATTGCGCTACCACACAGTCAAGTCATCGTGACCGAGTGTGCGAGTGTACTAGCCTTGTTCAAACTTTATCCAGCCAAATAAAGCGCGCTCTCCTAGAAACAACAAGTGAGGCTCCTTCAGCATAGTTGCAATATGAACCTCAGGTTGCGCCTGTGAGTATTGAAGAAATACAAATATACCTGAGCGGGCGTCTGCAACAGGGATTAACTAACCACTCTAGTAGACGGACATTCTCAGATACAAGCATCTAGCTTATTTACTCCAGACTCAACACTGTTAGTTAGGCTATATAGAGTGATGCGATAATTAACATGATTTACACTCGGACTATTGTCCTCATCTTTGTAATCATTACAACGTTTCGGCCGCTATGATCTCCAGCCTTCAGTGCTGGTCGATTCGAGTAACCCTTTATTTAATCTACGAGATAGTCAGCGGGACAAGAGTAATCTATATCTATGGATGTCTCGTCGCGTTTTTACATGGTCAGCGGAAACACAATCACCTGATGAAGACAGGCGTATACAACAGCCGAAACGTTGTGATAAAGAATAAATGTCAACTATGTAAATAATGATAAATCTCATCCAGAAAACTTCGACAGCAATAATTAATAAAAAGAACAAAAAGGACAAATAAAGATCTACCCTGTACTTGAGCAGGTTAAGACTGGTAGTGACCGGGGAAGCGTCTACGCGAGAGCCTTTCCCCAAAAATAACAGTTCTGGGCGAGAAGTTGTTGGAGTGGAACTTCCTCTTTATCAATGCAATACGGGAGCAATGGGGATGAGTCGACCCTGTGTAGGTAGCATGGGGGGGGGATTGTCCTAGCTGTGAAAGTTTGAACCGGTGGAAATAAGGAAGGAAGGAAGCTCGTTTGAACAGATTCCATTCAAATAATGATAGAATAATGATGGACTGTAAAAGTCTGAAGAAAAGTAGCGAGAGGCTAACGGCTTTTCAGTCTGTGGGGAAAGAGATTGTATGGTGGAAAATAAGTCATCCTCTACGAGACCACATGAACAACTTTGAACTCAGTCAAAAGCTGGAAAGTGACGATTGCATTTTTTTTTTTTTTTTTTTACAGTAAAGTTATAACTGTACAAGGCTCGGGAGCCACTCGAGGTAAATCGTTACGTTAAGTGTTAGTTTATATGGATAAGTGGGATTAGCTTTAGACTTGAACAGGTTAGGATTGTGATGATCTGGGAAACATCCTCTTGTGTGTGTGTTCCACAGGGCAGTGGTTCGTGGGAAGAAGCTGTTCGAGTGGAACGTACTTCTCATCGATGGAATGTGGGTAGTTTGCTACTATATAACTGGCATGGCGGGTCATAGCCGAGAAGCTTAGACCTGGCGGAACCAAGTTTGTGTGAGAGCAGCGAGAAGCTCGCCACATCCTGCGTGCGGGTGTGAGAGAGAGGTTGGAGGGTGGAGAATGATTCTTCCCCCCAACAAGGACGCGGGGACGCTTTTGGACTATCAAGACTGGAAAGTGAGGACTGGGCAGATCCTGCTCAAATATGACAACAGTCTTCCATTTTTTGGTCAGTTCTGGCTCTTATAAAAAGAGGTAACAGGAAAACATGAGGAGTCAGGTACTTACTGGAACGGTGCAGGGAGTGGATTGTGCAACAATACTCTATTTTTCTAGTGTCATGAACAGAGGCAAATCTGGGAAGCATGAAGGAGTGAACGACGCCACGCAAACAGGTGGCTTAGGGTTCCGACACCATACGCCCGCAGTATTTTAATGTCTTTGTGGGTTAGAAGTTGTTTTTAAGTGGGGACAAATGCCAAACAATTTGCAAGTATGAGAACGAAAGAATTAAACGTTTCCCTTTTTTTTACATATCCATTGAAATGGAAAGAAGATCCGGAAACTATTATCAACACCAGTTTTGTGGTTCTAGCAAACAGTTAACAAGACTGTCATTTTGTAAACTAAACCTACAAAATTGATAGACTAAAGTGTTGGCGTTTTTTTTTTTTACGAAAATATTACAATTTTCTTAAAAATTCGAATTCACTTCTATTAAAATAGTATAAAATACAAAAACACACACACAAAACAAAACACACACACACACAAAACAAAAAACACAAAAATACACACACAAAACACTCACAAAAAATAATCATACGAAGACAAAAAAAACCCTCAGAAACAAACGAAAAAAAATACAAGCAACACACACACAAAACAAACAACTAACAAGCAATACCATTATTACCTGATATAGAATTATTCATTTCGTTCGGCACGTTTCTATAGCCCTCTTCAAAACTGTCATTCATACCCTGGGAACGCCAGAAATAAAAGGGGAAAAAAAGTAATTTTATTTGAAATCCATAATAAAAAGAAGCATTTTAAAATTGGTGCGAAAAACGAAAGAATTTTCCATTTCTATTTTCCGATGAAATCCTTCAAAACTCTTCCACATATCACGTCTCGATGGCAATGAAAAATATGTCCCTTCGTAGCTATATTTATTCACCATACAAATTGTTGCATTTGCTCATCATTATTATTATTATTATTGGCAACGCTTTTTGGGAGATTGTTTACATGTCCTACTGTGATTCGTGTTGTTACGTGTAAACTTGAAGAATAATTTTTATTCTTAAGCGAAACCTGAAACTTAAAATGGTTGTCTATCTTAACAAATAATCTAAATTGTGTGTGAATGTTTAACCCATTAATGTCCACAAGACAATTTTTAGGATGATGGACATTAATGGGGTATACGTAGAATCGTGAGTAATAAGAGATGTTTCTTCAAAATCATAAGTCTTTTCTTAAAATCCGAGATTTTTTTTAATCCTACAAAAAAAAATATAAATAAAATAAATAAAAAAATCCTAGAACTCTTGTTTTTTTTTTTTTCTTTAAATGTTAAGTTTTTTTTTTTTTTTTTTTAAATCAAAATCCTATAAATAATACCCGATTTATTTTTCTTAAAAGACTCATATACAGCAGCATTTTTTCCCTCCAGAAACATATGACGGGTTTTATGGCTGGCGTAAATGGTTTAAAAACGCGTAAATCAGGATGTGTTGTCAAATGTAAATAAATAATAAAAAAAAAAAAAAAAAAATCAAAAATAATAATTAACAAAAAAAAATAATAATTAACAAAAAAATAAAATAATTAACAAAATAAAAATAATAATTAACAAAAATAAAAATAATAATTAACAAAAAAATAAAAATAATAATTAACAAAAATAAAAATAATAATTAACAAAAATAAAATAAAAATAACAAAAAAAAAAATAATTAACAAAAATAAAATAATAATTAACAAAATAAAAAATAATAATTAACAAAATAAAAAATAATAATTAAAAAAAAAAAATAATAATTAATAAAAAAAAAAATAAATTAAAAAAATAAAAAATAATTAACAAAAATAAAAATAATAATTAACAAAAATAAAAATAATAATTAACAAAAAATAAAAATAATAATTAACAAAAAATAAAATAATAATTAACAAAATAAAAATAATAATTAACAAAAAAAAAAATAATAATTAACAAAATAAAATAATAATTAACAAAAATAAAAAATAATAATTAAAATAAAATAATAATTAACAAAAATAAAATAATAATTAACAAAAATAAAATAATAATTAACAAAAATAAAAATAATAATTAACAAAAATAAAAATAATAATTAACAAAAATAAAAATAATAATTAATAAAAATAAAAATAATAATTAACAAAAAAAAAAAATAATAATTAAATAAAAAAAAAATAATAATTAAAAAAATAAAAATAATAATTAACAAAAATAAAAAAATAATAAAACAAAAATAAAAATAATAATTAACAAAAAAAAAATAATAATTAACAAAAATAAAAATAATAATTAACAAAAAAAAAAAATAATAATTAACAAAAAATAAAAATAATAATTAACAAAAATAAAATAATAATTAACAAAAATAAAATAATAATTAACAAAAATAAAAATAATAATTAATAAAAAATAAAAATAATAATTAACAAAAAAAAAAATAATAATTAACAAAAAAAAAAATAATAATTAAAAAAAAAAAAAAATAATTAAAAAAATAAAAACATGGAACAAAAAATAAAAATAAAATTAACAAAAAATAAAAAAAAAATATTTAGCAAAGAGTAATTGTAAAACCATTACAGAGCCTTCTTTGGATTTTGATGGGAATATTTGATGCACGGGCGAATGGTAGATATATAAATGTACCAGACAGACTCTAAAGAGGATGCTATGTGCATCCTGTTAACTATAGACAGCTGTTAGCATTTGTGTTTTTCTGTGATCGTATCATCAACCCTGATGGGGCTTCTTCGGGGGGGAGCTTGGCAGAGGAGTAGAAGTGGGTTTTTCCAGTTAGGATGAATGCTACAGATGTAGTATCTGTTCCGTGCCGGAAGGTTAGGGTTAGGTCTCCCCTCCCTTGCTCCCCCCACCGTTGCGTGACATCTGTTACCTAGCGGTGGTATGACCAGCTATGACAAGCTTTGACAAGTTAGACCAGCTGCCCGAGTGGAAACACTCGAGTCCCCACGTTAAAAACCGATTTTGTGTCACATCCTGACGTGGGTGGTGGTCAAGTAAATCTCGAACAGATTGCATGGTTATCAGCAAAAGGGTGAGTCCAAAATGCAGATTACAAATCGGAGATACCAAAATCAAACAAGCACAAAAATTTAGATGTCTGGGAAATGTTCTAACAGAAGACGAAAACTGCGACACTGAAATCCGAGGACGCATCGAGATTGCGAAAGATACCTTCCAAAAGCTAAGCAGAGTATTAAGAGACAGAAAAACTTCGTTAGAAACAAAGAAAAGAGTATTGGACTGTTATATTATATTTATTCTACAATATGATAGTGAATACTGGATAATTTTCTCAAAGATGAAGAGGAGACTTGAAGCAACGGAAATGTGGTTCTACAGAAGAGGATACTATGAATCGAACATAGAAACAACGACGAAAGGCTTCGAAAATCTGATACTTACGGGACTAAAAAAAAAAAAAAAACAAATTTACGAAAAAAAAAAAAAAAAAAAAACATTACGAAAAAAAAAAAAAAAAAAAAAAAAAAAAATTACGAAAAAAAAAAATTACGTAAAAAAATTACGAGAAGGCAGAATTTATTTACAGCTAAAAAGGACAGGAAGTTGTGGAGAAACATGATCGCCTACGCCATGAGGCGGCACTGCACATAGAGAAGGTGATTGTTGGAGTAAACAAAAATTTTGTTATTTTCCAAATAAACAGAAAAATATATTGTCATCCACTTTTTGTATAACATCATGAGTATACGTGGAGACTGATCAGGAACGCCTCAGGGGTCTCGTGCCTCCCCCCCTCTGAATCTATGATACATGGATCCCACCCTACTACATCTCAATTTTCATATTTTTCCGAAATTCCGCCATAACATTGTAAGAGCTAGTGGGTAGGTGGAGTTTTCACCGTCAAGGATCCTAATTGTAACTTTTTGAGACAAAGTTCTTTTCATCTTTTGCCGCTTAGTGTCAAATTAGTTTCGGATTAATGATCAAGGCAGACGGCTGGCGAGGCAAAGAAGACTAATGTCGAGCTTAACAAATTGCTAAAAAAATAAAAAAAATAAAAAAAATAAAAAAATAAAATAAAATAAAAATAAAAGAGAATGACGTCAAAATTCTCGAAAATATTTTATCCTTTAATAGTCACTTTAATTTCTAACGTATATAAATATAGGTAGAAAAGAAGCAAATGTTGATAAGAGCGTGGGTCGCAAAGCACTGCAAGGAACCCCTAATCTATGAGGGTCATTGGCATCGTGTAACGCTCGATGCGAGGAATTAGGCCCTTGACAAACCATTGTAGAACAGATACGATAGTAGCAGCCGGTAGTCAAAGAACAGAAACAGCCAACCAGCGCCTATATAACGTCATAATGCCAAAAGAATCTTTTTCTTCTGGCTAGAGCAGTTGGCTATGCGAATAATACTTTTACTGTTTCAAATGTAGACACGTGGACTCTCTGGTCAACGAAAAGCGTAACTTTCCACAATCAAACTTACTTTGTTCTTGCGAAATAAATGTTTTGTAAAGTTGGTATAGATATCCGGTCGTGAGATAAAATACAGAAGCAGAAAATCAATTTAGGGCGACGAACAGTAATAGTTTGCACACGCCTTATGGCTGACTTGCGCTGTAGAATATGGCCTGATTAATACGATGCAAAGCGAAAGATGGGCGGGGAAAATTAATTGTTTACCTCGGGTCGAAATGTTCGAAGATAATTCTTCAAGTCGCCCAACGGACAGTATTCCAAAATTAGTGCAGGGTTGTCGTCATCAAAATGACAGAAACCAACCATGTTGACCACGTGACGGTTGCAACCGATGTCTTTCATGGCGTCTATCTCCAGCAACAACATTTTGCGATCCTCTGTTGAAGCATTGTCTGATGAAGAAAAAAAAAACGGTTTCCATGTTGTAGGGTTATTACTAATTTACAGAGTTGAAAAATACAAATGTAAGAATAAAACATGCAAATACAAAGAAAAAAACTTGCCACTCAGCCGCCAACGCGCGCACAAGACTTTCCACTTAATCACCAACACATATCAAAGACCAACCGTTATTCTGTCGACTTACCTTTAAGTGTTTTTACAGCTACTGTTTTTTTAAGGAAAGTTCCAGAAGTAGTTGTGATGGCGTAAGCTGCCTTGACAACTTTTCCAAATGCTCCTTCGCCCAGAACTTCGAGCAAGTGCAAATCGTCTTTATTTAGTTCAAATCGGTCTTGCGGACAAAACGGCCGTGGTAGAGGGGCTCTCAACTCAACGGAATTACTATCTGGTATCTGAAGCGAAAGAAAAAAAAAAAGGTCCAAAGAATTTTCTCTTTTTATGTGTCATGTCCTTTCAGGACGTAGGCGGTCATAGCTCTTTTTTTTTTTTTTTTTTTTTAAATCAAAATCCTATAAATAATACCAGATTTATTTTTCTAAAAAAGACTCATATACAGCAGCATTTTCCCTCCAGAAACTTATGTCTCTTTTTTCCCCCCTCTATTCGACCTCTGAGTATCAGATTCTCCAGGTCGAAAGGCGATATAAGCGCCCTGGGCCCCTTAAAATCTTTAGAAAGCTATTTTTCAAAGTGAGGCTTTGGAATCACACAAGGTTCATCATATATAGATTTACCTTCATTTCCAAACTGAGAAAGCTTTGAAATTTTATTATTGGTTAGATTCTTGTATAATAAAAAAAGTTTTCAAGATTCTCTACGATTCAGGGTTAATTTCACCGATTTGTTTTTTTTGTTTTTTTTAACGGTTATAGCCATTGTAGGTCTTAAAACCAGGAGATCTTTTTAGGTTACCATAAAAATATTAGCCAACAAAGACGCAATATGACGGAGTCTCTTTCCCCATGACTCCGCTTTTTATTTCAGCAATGTTTCTTTTAAAATGCAATGATTAGAATTGTAATAAAATCTAAAACATATGAAAGTGAATTTATACATCATTTTCTTGAAAAATGACAAAGAAAACAACACTATTATATTTATATTATATCCTTAGAACTCTGCATCTCCCCCGACAACTAAGGTTTAATTAGTAGAACTTATACCGGTAAATCATTATCTCCCAAAAATTCTTATAATAATAATAAAAAAAAAAGTAAATATTTCCTTTCGATAATCATCTGAAAATTTAGAAAACTGATTTTCATTGGTCTTCTGAAGTTACCTATGCTACAAATACTATTGTATTGATTTTGTTTAACGGCATATCAACTCCATAATGCTAAAATTTTATTATCTTGAGGGCTTGAGTAATTTTTTTCTTTTTACAAAAATCTGTTGCTGGTAATTTTTTTTTTTTTTTACTATGGAAATATATTTTTATACTTTCAGTCTATTGACCTCAGTTTGGCGGTTTACTATTTGCCCATAGTTAGGACCCCCTAACAGGTGCTACCAGTCCGGGTCAGGGTGGACCTGGGAACAACAGCAATTAAGAGGTGGTTCCACGATCCTAAAATCACTCCATTAGAGGCCTTGCTGCCGGATTTAGTTTATCGTCATAACCAGGACAGCGGTCTAGGGATTGGTTATAACAAATTTAGTATAGGAGTTAATAAAACTGAACACAGGACAGGTAGCGCTAGGTCTAATTTTGTCCAATACCATGTAGGTGCTGCAAAACCTAAATATTAACCAGAGAATTCGAGTCATCTACTTAAATAGCCTCATCAGATATGGACTCATATGGATATCATGTATGGCATGCAAACAATTCCGAAATTAGTAACCTCCCGTCTCTATGCAAACAATTCCGAAATTAGTAACCTCCCGTCTCTATGCAAACAATTCCGAAATTAGTAACCTCCCGTCTCTATGCAAACAATTCCGAAATTAAACAATTTGAAATTAGTAACCTCCCCGTCTCTATGCAAACAATTCTGAAATTAGTAACCTCCCGTCTCTATGCAAACAATTCCGAAATTAGTAACCTCCCGTCTCTATGCAAACAATTCCGAAATTAGTAACCTCCGTCTCTATGCAAACAATTCCGAAATTAGTAACCTCCGTCTCTATGCAAACAATTCCGAAATTAGTAACCTCCCGTCTCTATGCAAACAATTCCGAAATTAGTAACCTCCTGTCTCTATGCAAACAATTCCGAAATTAGTAACCTCCCCGTCTCTATGCAAACAATTCCGAAATTAGTAACCTCCCGTCTCTATGCAAACAATCTGAAATTAGTAACCTCCCGTCTCTATGCAAACAATTCTGAAATTAGTAACCTCCTGTCTCTATGCAAACAATTCCTATGCAAACAATTCCGAAATTAGTAACCTCCCGTCTCTATGCAAACAATTCCGAAATTAGTAACCTCCCGTCTCTATGCAAACAATTCCGAAATTAGTAACCTCCCGTCTCTATGCAAACAATTCCGAAATTAGTAACCTCCCGTCTCTATGCAAACAATTCCGAAATTAGTAACCTCCCGTCTCTATGCAAAACAATTCCGAAATTAGTAACCTCCTGTCTCTATGCAAACAATTCCGAAATTAGTAACCTCCGTCTGTGAAATTAGTAACCTCCGTCTCTATGCAAACAATTCCGAAATTAGTAACCTCCCGTCTCTATGCAAACAATTCCGAAATTAGTAACCTCCCGTCTCTATGCAAACAATTCAAGTTGTGTTCTTAAATAGCCTCGTCAGATTTAGACTTTCATATGGATGTCAGACATGGCGTCTAACTCGTCTGGAAAAGTCTCAATACGACTATGGGTCAAAGAAGAATGACAAATAAAGCTTAACTAAATAAAAAGGAACATATCACTTGAACACATCCAAACGCAACAACAAAGAAGTTTGGCACCAGTAACTAATAGGGAAAATAATGATACAACCAACCTGTTGACTTTCTACCGTACCTTAAACAAAAGGTTTGGAAGGAAACTCCCATCGATATTAGAAAGAGCGATATCAGTGAACTTGAGAAACATTTCAGAGAAAGATTTTTGTTTTTAAATTTCTGTCTCCATTGATACTAAACAATCGACATTCGTTGACCGAACATTAACTCTTACAACACGGGGTATCAAAGCAAAAAATGGTACTTACATCTGAAGCTGGTTTGGTCTGCGAGTAAGATTTTGCCTTTCTCTGATAAATAATAGGAAACGTTATGATGATCAGAATAAACAACAAAATGCCGATCGGAACGGCGATGACCAACGCATCCGGCGGCGAATCGGGAACTGAAATTAAATATTGATATCAAAATTTGGAGACAAAGCTTTGAAAAATGCTATAAACGGAAGGAATGTTTTGTTGTTTTATTTTTTTAAATCTAATCGACCCAAGCAAGGCAGTAAACGCACTAAGACAAGGGGTTACAGGGTGGGGAACGATTAGGTACAGAAACAATAATGGTGAACAAACAAACGAAAAAACAAAAAAAGTAATCGGTTGGACAGTACATAGAGATTGACATTGCATTTACATTTTTGCAGATTAAAGTTGGCTGGAAGGCATTGAGAAGTGCAAAGTGGGGAAAAAGACAAGCACAGAGAGAAAACGAGGGGGGAGAGAGAGAGACACACACAAAACGAGGGGGGAGAGAGAGAGACACACACACACCAAACGAGGGGGGGAGAGAGAGACACACACACCAAACGAGGGGGGGAGAGAGACACACACACCAAACGAGGGGGGGAGAGAGACACACACACCAAAACGAGGGGGGGAGAGAGAGACACACACACCAAACGAGGGGGGAGAGAGAGACACACACACAAAACGAGGGGGGGAGAGAGAGACACACACACCAAACGAGGGGGGGAGAGAGAGAGACACACACAAAACGGGGGGGGAGAGAGAGAGACACACAAAACGAGGGGGGGGGAGAAGACACACAAAACGAGGGGGAGAGAGAGAGACACACACAAAACGAGGGGGAGAGAGAGAGACACACACAAAACGAGGGGGGAGAGAGAGACACACACACAAAACGAGGGGGGAGAGAGAGACACACACACAAAACGGGGGGGGAGAGAGAGACACACACACAAAAAGGGGGGGAGAGAGAGACACACACAAAAACGGGGGGGAGAGAGAGAGACACACACAAAACGAGGGGGGAGAGAGAGACACACACAAAACGAGGGGGAGAGAGAGACACACACAAAACGAGGGGGAGAGAGAGACACACACAAAACGAGGGGGGGAGAGAGAGACACACACAAAACGAGGGGGAGAGAGAGACACACACAAAACGAGGGGGGAGAGAGACACACACACAAAACGAGGGGGGAGAGAGACACACACAAAACGAGGGGAGAGAGAGACACACACAAAACGAGGGGAGAGAGAGACACACACAAAACGAGGGGGAGAGAGACACACACAAAACGAGGGGGAGAGAGACACACACAAAACGAGGGGGGGGAGAGAGAGACACACAAAACGAGGGGGGAGAGAGAGACACACAAAATGAGGGGGAGAGAGAGACACACAAAAACGAGGGGAGAGAGACACACACAAAACGAGGGAGAGAGAGAGACACACAAAACGAGGGGAGAGAGAGACACACACAAAACGAGGGGGAGAGAGAGACACACACAAAAAGGGGGAGAGAGACACACAAAACGAGAGGGGAGAGAGAGACACAAAACGAGGGGAGAGAGAGACACACAAAACGAGGGGGCAGAGAGAGACAAAAAGGGGCAGAGAAACAAAACAGGGGGGGCAGAGAGAGACACAAAGAGAAAACGAGGGGGGGCAGAGAGAGACACAAAGAGAAAACGAGAGGGGGGCAGAGAGAGACACAAAGAGAAAAACAAGAGAGAGACTAAAAGAGAAAAAACGAGGGGGGGCAGAGAGAGACACAAAGAGAAAACGAGGGGGGGGCAGAGAGAGACACAAAGAGAAAACGAGGGGGGCAGAGAGAGACACAAAGAGAAAACGAGCGGCAGAGAGAGACACAAAGAGAAAACGGGGGGTAGACAAATGGCAAAGAATTATGCTTGTATGACGACTTTTCAAGATACGTTCCAAATAATTCTCTGCACATTCCAGTGTCTTCACATTCCCGGCCTGGCAAATCTTTTTTGGTTTACATTTTACATTTCTTAAATGTCAGATTTCTTACATCACCGACTTGATTATCACGTAAAAAGAGAGAGAAATTTAAATTCATGTTTACACCTCACCTATTTTAGTCCTTCCAATTCTATACAGGGGTTCAACATAAACCCTTTTTAATTCTAGTTTCATACTACACCGTTGGCACATGGTTTAATTCATTTTGGAAAAAAATAATATGTTCTTTAACACGTGGTCGATCAAAGCACATCAGGTTTCTTTTTTCTTTTAAAAGTTTTAATTGTTATGATTTCAATAGAAACATATTGGTGTGGCTTCCCGTTGCTTTCTCTACGATTTTGAATTCATAATAGTCTTCCCTTAGGCCGGCTGCCATTCGAGGCTACAAAGCTCAATCTAACTAGTCAATACCATGAGTTTCCTTCTCCTATATTGGTTAACATACAGGGCTAGAGAGCCCAGTCTGCCTTGCTGAAAGAGAACATATAGGTTCATACTTTTCCCAAGGGAATTTGCGCGTAAGTGAATGCAATGAACTTAACTGGTATTCGATCACGACTCTTTCTATTACACCACCCGCACATCCATTTTTTTTTTTTTTTACTTAAGATTTAAAGGGTTTAAGTAGAGATCAGAGTTAAGAAATTGTGTCTTTCAGCCATTGGCATTTCAGATTTCTCATCGTTGAACTTGTTTGGGTTCACGTCCAGCTCCTGCCAAACGCGCTGTAGCATGTCTTGCGTAACATTCTCCAGCGGATCAGGGATTCTCTGCTTCAGTTCCTCTAGGCTTGTAGGAAGAAGGGGGATATAGACCCGTCCTATCATATAGCCCTCATAAAAAGAAAGAAAAAAACGATGTCAAGTAAGGTGAACGTGGTGGCCATTTCAACAGCACATTGTCATTATCACTGACACACCCGAGCCATCTTCTTGGTAGATTCTCATTGAGACAAGTTTGCACTGTTACCTTAGTTTTTACACATTTTGTTAAAATTTGAGATCATTTGAGCTAGAACGAGAACTGGTTATGTTATGGACTGCAAAATGTTGAAGAGACTGGATCGGGGGGGGGGATTACGCAGTAACATCAAGAGCATAAAAAGAGCTCGGGTGGTCGAACAAAATTTCAAGTGAAGAATTTTTGTTATTTGCTAGAATTGTCAAAGCAGTCTGAATTTCGGTTTGCCTATCGCCCAGTTTACACTCCTCATTTAAAAAAAAAAAAAAAAAAAAACGGTTGAATTTTATTTACTAATTTTTTCCCCTGTTCAATAGGAATAAATGAGTTCGCCTATCGCCCGGTTCACACTCCTCCTGAAAATGAAAGACTAAGCTTTGTAGAACTACTTTTTTTTCTTTTTTTAGTTTTACTTTTTATTTTGTTTGATTTATGTTTTAGATTGAGTCATAAATAATTTTCCGTTGAACAAGAATACAGGTTTATCCCTTGTTTCCTGTCTAGTATTGGGCTTTCAGTTCATTCTAAAGTCTTTTTTTTTTTCAACTATACTTATGAACTCTGAAGCTTTATTTACTATTTCCGTTTTTTGCTCTATAGATAGGAGATGGTAGCTTTGCCCATCACCCGGTTCACATTCCTCCCCGATAGAGGTTCAATTAGAGTAGCTAGACTGAGTTTTAGATATAAGCCGAGGGCCCAGACTAAGCGCGACCAACCCCAAAGACCCCAGCGGTGGAAGAAGGCAATGGTGATTACAGCACATCTCAAATGTTGAACCAGTGGATGAAGATGGATATGCATGATGGACATCCTATCAGTCGGTCGAAGTTTCATAACTGGATTTTACATCGTCATTCCATATGTGCCGCGTATCACGTGTGTGAGATCCACAAATTGACGCCGCCGGCCAACGCCACTTAGGCGATCATGGATCTTTTGATACATGACTGACGAGGCAGTTTTTCCCCCGCTGTAGGTTGCCATTTCTTTCTAAGGCTTTAGAAGAGGATTCATACCTTTCTAAAAGGTATTAGCACATAAGCGAATGTAATGGATTTGACTGGGATTCGAACTCAGCTCGACGATTCCTCAACCCGAGCCGCTATCCATTACGCCTCACTGATTTTCTTTTAGAAGAAACCAACTTTCACGTTTAGCCAACTCTTGTAAAGCTAAATGGCAATAGGGAATGAATGACGGGAGTAGGTTTTGAGTGAAACTGAAAGCATCTAGTCCTGGCATCAACACAGAGGAAATTAAATTCTTGGATAAGAGCTGAAGCCGATGAATTGGGATCAAATGTAGATCAGCATTCGACAGAATAAAAACAAATAAGGTTTCACTTTTATTAGTTATATAAATACACACACACAGATACGTACGTGGAGCCCGAACTTTATAATCATTAAAAAAAACAAAAAAGAAAAAAAAGCCCAAAAAAAAAAGCCCCCCCAGCCCAAAAAACACAAACAAAAATCCCCCCAAAAAAAAAAAAAAAAAAACCCCCAAAAAAAAACAAACAAACCCCCAAAAAAAAAAACAAACAAACAACCCCCAAACCAACCAAACAAACAAACAATGGTCCCCCCCCAAAAAAAAACAAAAAACAAACAAACAATACCCCCCAAAAAAAAAAAAAAGAAAAAAAGCCCAAAAAAACAAAAAGAAAAAAAGCAAAAACAAATACTGACCTGTAAATATGCTGGCCATAGAGGCTCCCTGTATTTTAGTCATTTTAGTTGAGGCTGTAAAGAGAGAGAAAAATACTATAAGTGATCGCTATGTAGGTCTCAAAAATTTAAAAATCCGGCATTATATATTTCTACTTTCAACGCATAAATTGCCACGATAGACTGTAATGTTTTGACTGGTGAGAATTATAAAGGCAATCTAAGTTAAAAGTATATAAAGCCGCACTTTTCCTCCGAAATGACCGACTTTATAACAAGTCTAGCTAAAAAGCTGACCAAGCGGCATTTAGTCTAACTCCTGCGGAGAACGCTTGATTGGGTCTTCGGCTTGTTCAGGAGTTTGACACTAACTAAGTCTTTGCATATTCCCAGCATTGCAAGCTCTCCCGGCTGCCGTTTGATCTGGGTGTTCATTTGCACAGGACTTCCTTTTCCTCGCAATCTGATCCTCTGTTGGCGAAGATTTCTTTTGGTGAGCCATAATGCTGCCGTATGCGACAGGCAACAATAAACTACAGAAGAACTCAAAATTGATCGCTACATTTAAGTATTGAATTAATATTTAAGCTTACATTTTAAAAGTTCAATGCTAATTCCTCTGCCGGCTATTAATTTAAAGACAATTTGATGTACATAGGTCCTTACTTTCCATACAAACAATTATTTTTATTTCATGAGTGACTTTCGATGGATTTCGCAATTAAATTTGATTATTCCGAAATTTATTTCCGAGTTATAAAAACTTATGGTACAATGATAATAAAAGGGAACAATAAAAAGGGAACAATAAAAAAAGGAATAAAAAATTAAAAATCTCTGAAACAATCGCAATAGTGAAAACTTGGGAAATCTTGGGACATTTCTATAACATGAGCTATTGAAAGTTAGAGAGTTGTGTCCCTTTAATTGAAAAAGGGGTGTGACAGTGACACACTGGCATTTTCATTTATTATAGAGATGAAGTTTAAGTCATTTTTCTCATCCCTGATAATTTCCTCTGATGAAAGGAAGGAACCTTCACCTCGAATACGATATTTGATTCAACAAATTACTGATAACTCTTGAGAATTTAAGCTTTAATAACATTCACGTTGTCAATATTTCCTTCCGCTTTTAAAGAAAAACCTTGAAAGTGTTTTATCTTTAGAGTTTTATTATCAAGATAAACATATATAATCACTTCTCACATTCTTTGAAAGTTGAACAGGTATTTATACGTGTTGTTACAGAAAACATCTAAGTCAACTGAATACGGCGGGTATGTTTGCACTAATACTGAGGCGAATCTAAATCGAGGCCTGCCAAACCTGCAGGGCTCTCTGTTGACTGGGGACCCGACGGATTATTAATTTAACACACGATAGCAAACTTTCGTTGCCGGAATCAGCTTAACCAATTTAGTATTAAAAAAAAAAAAAAAAAATCTTTATCATTTACCCATGAATTCAGTTACATGGCTGTCAGGCGGCCTGTCATAGATATCGCCTTGATTCAAACCCATTGCATCTAGCCTATTCAATGTATAGAATAGCTTAGAAATGGGGTTACCTCCGCCCCCAACTTACTTATTCCCTTTCCGATAACAAATAGCGCTTATCTTTAAGTATGTTTCGAAGAATGAATGAATAAGTAATCTGATAGCAACAAGGAAAATGATACCAGGACATATGAGAGGTATGCTGAAAAGTTATCAGTCCGACCAACTTTCCAAGTTCTAAGAGGGGATTTATGGTCGGATCGGGACTTTTCAGTCCGAACCGAATTTGCACTAGTAGCTACCGCTCGCCAGCCATCAAGGCCCGTGCTTGTTCACCCCGTTGCTGCAGCCCTACGTCATACTAGAAAAAGCTTAATATGTACGACTAATTGTTTTATGTCGAACAAATGGAAAGGCATGAACCCATCTCTTCTGCCTACAGCTAAGAGTGAAATAGAGTAAACCGCCCTCTCTAGCATTAGGTGGTAACTAGTCTGAAAGAATATTAAAAAAATATGAAAAATTTAAATATAGATAAAAAAAAAAAATGAATAAATATGCTTCTATATAGAAGTCTGGTATAGCAAAGTGGTATAATACGTCAGATCAATTGATGGTTCTGTATTGGACACAGGTTCGATTCCTGTTAGAGACCCATATTTTCTATGACATTTTCCGGAACATTCAGGCCGGTAAATGTAATTCTGATTAATTAAAAAAAAAAAAAAAAAAAAAACATTGCATATATTTACATATATACATATATATATATATATATATATATATATATATATATATATATATATATATATATATATTATATAGGTACCTCCACGAGATCGCTAAAAAAAAAAAAAAAGGAGCATAGCATGATGAAAAAAAGACATAAACTTGACGAAAACAAAATTTTATCGTCTAAATGTTTGTTATTCATTAAGAGGAAAGGTCAAAGTATTTTTTGGGGTATTTTTTTCCCATTTTTAATCGTTCCTAGCACGTCCGAAATTTTCGTTAAAAATCTAGTTTTTTTGAGTCAGCAAAATTGACCATTTTTTTTCCATTTTTAAAAAACTGAAATCTGACTTTGAAATTTTTAAATATCAATTATCATTTTTTTTCAAAACTTATTTTAAGAAAATCAGAAATTATAATGTTTATTTAAAATATTTTGAACCAAACTTAACTTAGCTTTTGTGCCAAAAAGTTGTAATTTGAAAATAAAACAAAGCAGGTCATAAACTTTCGCGTCACTTGACATGTGATGAATGACATATTGACGGATTCCGTGAGGCTAATTTGTTCTACGGAAGGAGAAAAGTGAAATAATTTACATTTACGTGAACAAATTATTTACCCCGTTATTTTTAACGAAAACTTTCAGCGGTCTAATTTTTTTTTTTTGTACTTAGCTTTCACCTTTACGTTTATGATGCTTTATGGGAAATATATTTAAAAGAAATTAAAATAAAACTGTTAAGAGTGACATTAAATTTCATATTTCTTAAGAAAGGTATCTAATTAATTTATAGGTACCTTTCTTATGAAATTTTATCAGAATTGTACATAAAAAACTATAATTTTATGTACATTTATTACATTCTATTGTTATTTGTATTTGCATTCATTTTATTATTAATTTTGATATTTCATTTATGGAAAAATATCGTAACTGAGATTAATATAAAAATAAGATCATATAAATTTCATAAGATGATACTGATACTTGTAGGTACCCTTTTCAGTTGAAATTGAAAAATCAAATTAACTTCTCCACACGTGTTTCGCAAAAGTAAAAGCCTTAACAGCGGGGAACAATGCTTAACTCAAATAACGCCAACTTAATTATATTCTGGTTGGTCTTCCGTATTTTATAATTACAGCTCGATTATAAGCACAAAATTACATTTCTTAATTACTGGGGTTCTTCTGATTAGTCAAAAATGATACAATTTACAACGCGCTAAAAAAAGATCTATCTCATAAGGACACTTATGAAAGCCTGTGTGGCTTTTATCTAATTTTATAATATTTTAACAACTTAAATGTAAAAAATCTATTATAATTAATGAAATAACAAATAATTGTATTAAAAAATTCATTTTTCATCGAAAAAAATTTTTTGCTTTCAGAAAATATTGTCCATATTCATAAAAACAACTAAAAGCAAATAAAAAGCATTTGAAATTAAATAATATCTTTGTTTTATTGAGTTTTGTATGTTACAATTCAGAGCTGATTTTCAGGTATTGGGTATCCAATAAAAAAAAAAAAAAAAAAAACATGATTTGCATTCCTCAAAGCCCTGTGTTTTTTTAATTATTGTAATCACTAAAACCGATGCGATCGAATTTCTAACGTTTTCATAAAATTAGTTATGGGGGGTAATAAATATTTTAAAAAATATTTCTACCATGACTTTCATAAAAAAAAAAAACATATTTATAATAATTTCGATCATCTGTGAATAGTTCGTGAAAGTTTCATTAACATCCGATAATTATTTCTATTTTTGCAGGATTTTTCAAATTAATGTGTGTTATACCAAAAAAACGTGCTAAAAATTGTCTATGTTATTTACTAGTTCCGCTGATACAAATAGAAACAAGGTTTTTTAATCAAAATTTAGAATGTTCTAAAAAGAAGGAAAATTTTTAAAAAATAATTAAAAAAAACTTTGGTCTTTCCTCTTAATAATAACATAACATTTAGACAATAAAACTTTGTTTTCGGCAAGGTTAAGCGTCTTTTTTCATCAAGCTATGCTCTTTTTTTAGCGATTTCGTGGAGGTACGTATATATATATATATATATATATATATATATATATATATATATATATATATATATATATATATATATAATATATATATGGTTTCTTAGTGGAGTGATAGCATGTATAGTCTTAGAATTTCTAGAATCTGGGCCTTTCTTAAACATTTTAGCTAAACAACATACTTCCGATATAGTGATGATGCTCAATTAATGTATCCTCGTGATACGGACCTACCTGATCCCATAGATAGACTAAGTTGAACATATAATAGAATTTACATACAAAATGAAAGAATACAATTCCTTACCTTTAATAGATATCAAGGTACACCGCGGTAACAAAAGTTTAAAACTTGGTGCCCACTGGAAATCAACCAATAAAAACGATCTAATAAATTTTTATTCTCCTCATAGCAACAAAATAAAATCCGGTATAATCATCGGATTCTACTTAAGAGCACTAAGAATATGCAGCCCTCAATATTTACATGAAGTGGAGAAATATTTTGGAAATACTTTCAAGCTTCTGCAGTAGCCTAATTATGTCACATTCAATGCAAAAAAGGGGTGGGGGCTCATAAATTACTCCAAAATAGAAAAACGGCCCCTCCTTACAAACCCAATGAATCAAAAAAAAAAAAAAAAAAAAAATATATATATATAGTCTTACTTTTACATCTACAATTGGAAAGAATCTATCTAAACTCAACAAAATTTGTTACTACTACATCTAAAGCAATAAAAAAAAAAAAGACTCAGTCAACACTAAACAAAACAATAAGCTAAAGCTTGGAGGAATTTACTCGATCGCCTGTAATAATTGTCACAAAAAATACAAAGGAGAAAGCTCAAGGAATCTAAAAAGATTATATGAATACAAAAGGGACATTTTACAGAACAATACATCAAATTCATTGTTTTCTCACCGTAAGGAGACTACAATTTTTACATTAAAATTATATATATATATATATATATATATATATAGGTGCGATGGCTAAATTACGCAAAAATGAAAATAATATTGACATCTCATTTTAACAGATATATTTACCAAACTTAAACAAAAATATCTTTAAATACTAAAGCGTAAACCTAGTCAATAAAGTTGGATTCAACTACGGCGTGCAGACGACTTCGGAATATTCTGCTTCTCTTCTGGACGGTCTCCTTGTTTAAGTTGGTGAATGCTGCCATAATCTTTGCCTTCAGTTCATCTTTGGTGTTACGAGGAGTTTTTGGTCTCTTGCTCAACTACGCCCCACACATAATAATCAAGGAGGTTGCAGTGTGGGAAGTTAGGTGGCCAGATGTAAGGGGGTGATGTGACCATAGAAATTGCCTGTCAGCCATGACTGAGTTCTCCTGATTGTGTGGCATAGTGCAGAGCTCTCTTTCCAGACAGTCTTCCAGCAGCTACCGTCTTGACCAAGGAAAGCACTACATCCCCAAGACACTTGATGTAGGCATCGTCTTGAGTCTGAGGCCCTCACCAACAAATCCGGATGTTTGTTCTTATCAGAACGATTAGATTGATTTTTCCGAGCTGTCGTACCTTCATAATCACCACTGGACTCGTCCAACTCTTTCCGAATTCTCTGCACTGTCCTCAGATTGACACGCAAATCTTTGAAATACTCGTATTGGAGCTTCTGGCGCGAATGCCATGCAGCACAACATGCCGTTTCTAAATTTCTGGTTGAGTGAATTGCGTCATGGTGCTCTTTTTCTCTCAGACGGCGCCTAACTGTCCCTACTATGCTGTGCTGTCGACAAAAGTTAAAAAATAACGCGCATGCGCGAAATTAAAAATAGCGACAATTTACCCATCGCACCCTGTATATATTTTTAATTTTATCGATGCTATACACGAAAATGTGTAAAATGCAATATGTGCTTACACATCGAGTTGAAATACAATTCATGACTTGATTAAAACTGATTCTCGTGTAATTTTTGCAGCCATGTACGGATATTAAAAGGTTAATTTACTCTATTGAAGCTTTTAAATAATTAATCGTAATTACAACAGACTACAGATATTTACTGCGGTATCCCCCCCCCCACGCACAAACAAAATGAGCACACCATTTTTAAATGTCTCGTCCCTTCGAGATGCACGCGGTCACGGCTCTGTTTTCTTATCTGTGCGTTGTTATTGTTCTGCAAGGTAAAACCTTTGTTTCTGAATTCAGAATTCAGTATTTTCTTTCTACACTGCGTGTCATCTATGGCTACACTTAGCTTACTAC